TGCCCCCGCCACATCCCCTGCCCCCGCCACATCGCCTGCCCCCGCCACATCCTCTGCCCCCGCCACATCCCCTGCCCCCGCCACATCCCCTGCCCCCGCCACATCCCCTGCCCCCGCCACATCCCCTGCCCCCGCCACATCCCCTGCCCCTGCCACATCCCCTGCCCCCGCCACATCCCCTGCCCCCGCCACATCCCCTGCCCCCGCCACATCCGCTGCCACCCCCACATCCCCTGCCACCCCCACATCCCCTGCCACCCTCACATCCCCTGCCTCACCCACATCCCCTGCCCCCACCACATCCGCTGCCCCATGTACCCCTGCCTGGGCCCCCACATCCCCCCCACTCTCTCAGGTGCTAAGGGACGAGCTACAGCAGTACAACCCCAAGCGCCTGCCTGCATGGTGCGACCGGGTGCTCTGGCGGTCGCTGCCTGGCTGCAAACTCACCTGCACCAGATACACCTCCGCGCCCACCATTCTCACTGGGTAGGCTGCTCTGCTGGTTCCCAGTTGAATGCACACACTCCACCCAGTTGAATGCACACACTCCACCCAGTTGAATGCACACACTCCACCCAGTTGAATGCACACACTCCACCCAGTTGGATGCACACACTCCACCCAGTTGGATGCACACACTCCACCCAGTTGGATGCACACACTCCACCCAGTTGGATGCACACACTCCACCCAGTTGGATGCACACACTCCACCCAGTTGGATGCAAAAGTCCAAATGGAGCACTGTAACGCTTCCTGCCTTTGCCTGGCTGCATCTCTCCCTGGTGGTGCAGCTGCTGCAGCTGAATATAGGGCATCATTGCTGTCCTTTCCTCCGTCTCTGTCTCTCTGTCTCTCCCCTCTGTGCATGCAGCGACCACAAGCCAGTGCTGGCGGAGTTTGACATCACCACATACACGCTGCCTGTCACCATGGACCCCTCAGAGGACGCCGTGCAGCTGCTCTTAAGGGCGCATCTCCTCCTCTGTCTTTCTCCCCCATGTGCCATGCAGCGATCACAAACCCGTGCTGGCAGAGTTTGACGTCACCACATACGCCCTCCCAGTGACCATGGATCCCTCAGAGGATGCCGTGCAGCTGCTGCAGCTGAGCAAGGGGCACAGCGATAAGGACGACATGCGCTGGCACCTGCATGTGAGTGACGACGGCTGCATGTGAGTGGGACCTGCATGTGAGTGGGACCTGCATGTGAGTGGGACCTGCATGTGAGTGGGACCTGCATGTGAGTGGGACCTGCATGTGAGTGGGACCTGCATGTGAGTGGGACCTGCATGTGAGTGGGACCTGCATGTGAGTAATGGTATCTCAGTCACTGTGCAATAGTTATGTGTGAGGGTGAGAATTTCTGGTACGGTGAGTCGGGGTGCAGCTGAGCAAGGGGAACGGTGACAGACAAGGACAACGACATGCGCTGGCACCTGCATGTGAGCCATGGCTTCTCAGACCCAGTGCATTAGTCATGAGTGAGGTTGGGCTGTGCAGTGAGGGTGTGGGTGTGTGAGGGTGAGCAAGGGGCACAGCGATAGGGACGACATGTGCTGGCACCTGCATGTGAGTCACGTCATGGTTGCATTGCACGTCATGGCGCCACCAACACCTGTTCACACGGACTGACATGTCTACCCACATCTCCCCCGTGCTGTGCCTCCATCGCCCCATCCTCTCCACATCGCCCCCCCATCAGATATTGGAACTGAGGGGGCACAACCTGCTCCCAGCAGACGCCAACGGCTTGTCTGACCCGTGAGTCACCTCTTCCCCTAAACACCCTCTCATCGCCCGAGAAATTCCATGCACTCCAATGCACTTCCCTGCACTCCCTTTCACCCCTCTCCACTCCCCCGCACTACCCTGGTTTCCCTCCCCCTCGCAAAGCCCTATTCCCCACGTCCTTCCCTCCCACTCAGCCCTGTCCTCTCCCCCACGCCCTGCCCTGACTTGCTGCTCCATCCATTCTTTGGAATACACCACATCCTTTGCTCTATATCAACCCCTGCTATGTCTGAGTCACTTATGAAATTTCTCAAATATTGCTGCTTCGTCCATTTTTGGAATGGACCACATCCTTGGCTCTTCCACTCTCTGCCCTCTTTTGCCCTCTGCCCTCTTTTGCCCTCTCTGCCCTCTTTTGCCCTCTCTGCCCTTCCTGCTTCAATCTCCTCCCCACTCTCCCTCCCCACACACACACACCCCTCACAGCTGCATCCGTTTCATGGGTCCCAACCTCTTCAAGTCCTTTCAGACCAACAAGTGCTAAAAGTCTCTCAACCCCATGTGGAGTGCTGATATGTCATGCTGCCATGCGCCTCTCCTCTCTCTCCCTTCACACACCCCTCACAGCTACATCCGTTTTGTAGGCCCCAACCTCTTCAAGTCTTTCCAGACCAAGAAGTGCTACAAGACACTCAACCCTGTGTGGGGCGCTGATGTGAGTGCTGGGAGTGCTGCCAGACAGGTGGCGCTGATGTGATTTCTGGGGCTGGTGGGATTGCGAGGGGTTGTGTCAGCAGCAGCTTCAATGCGAGCTATTCACAAAGAAGTGCTACAAACAAGACTCTCAACCCTGTGTGGGGTGCTGATGTGAGTGCTGGGAGGAGTGGTGGGAGTGCTGGGTGGTTTTGTGCTGGTTGTTTTAGGGTAGGTGACGTTGCTGTTGCGTGCAGATTAAAAAGGCTTGTAGCTGCCCCACTGTAGACGATTTCAACATCGCTTTCAGGTACGTTGTGAGCATGGTTATGAGGTTTGGTTACGAAGCTTGTTTGTGAGCCTTGGTAATCATGAGCCTCGGTTATACGCTTGTTTGGTTGTGAGACTTAGTTGAGCGTTGGACAAATGCACCCCACGCTCTGCCTACCTCCTCCCCTCTCTGTCCCACCCCCTCCTTTCTTTCATATGCCTTCCCACTGCTACAGGATGTACCTGCTATAGTGTTGGAGCACCAGTCACTGCATTACTACGAGAAGGACTATCTACTAGCAGCTGTGTTCGATTATGATAAGACAAACAAAGACGACCCTATAGGTGTGTGGTAGCTCCATCCATCCATGTTTGCCATCTGTACCTGCTACAGGCTGTACCTGCTGTAGTGTTAGAGCACTAGTCACTGTGTACAATGAGAAAGACTATCTACTCGCAACCGTATTCGATTATGATAACCGAGTGTGAGCACTCCCACCACTCACATCAGCACCCCACTACTCCCAACACGGACGACCCTAAAGGTATGTGGACGTTCTGTCTATCCATGTTTGCTCATCTGTTCCCGTTAGAAGCTGTATCCACTGTAAAATGTACCCTCTACAAGCCGTAACCACTATACGACGCTAGTCTGTCGTCAATCGCGTAGGCCATTATTCCATATCATGAGAAAAGATCGAGGCTATGAGAAGCCATGCGGCAAAGCTAAAAGGCACAACCACTGGTTCTCTAACTGATCCTCCTCAATTGAATGCCCCCACCCCACCAGGATACGCTGCAATCCCATTGGCTGATCTTGTGAAGGCCACGTGGGAGCAGTCCTCTCAGCCAGTCAGCTTCCGGGTAGAGGTGACCTATAAGGGCCTGCCAGCTGGCGAGCTGGAGGGCAGCTTCCGTCTTTTCTGGGCGGTGAACAAGCTCAGCGAGGGCAAGTGTGCGCAGATGTAATTGTGTTGACGGGAATGGCGGCAGATGTTATTGTGTTGACAGGAATGGCCAGGAGATGTGATTGTGTACGAGTTTTGGCGCAGGCGTGATGATGCAGAGGTTTGTGATTGATCCGCACCAAGGGTGAGCAGCAGATGCGGCTACCTGAAGACATACGGGCAAAGAGCTGTTTGTGGAGCTGCCAAGGCGAGCCCAAAGAGACGTGCAGAGGCAAATGGCACACTGTTGACTCACCGCCGCCTTGCTTATCATGGATTTTTGGGGGAAACAAGAGCAGTGGTGTTGGTGACAGCGGTGGTAGTGGCGGTATCTCAAAAGACTACCGTATTGCTTTTGAGGCGTCACACGAGCCGAGGTTGTGAGGGGGGCATCATAGCAGTTTGCAGTGTTTCCCTTCGGACTGGTGTAGGAGTTACTACTGTTGGGCTGAAAGCCCCTTTAGGATCTTTGGTAGAGTTTAAGTCTCAGTAAAGTGATGTAGTAGCGGAAGCGCTTGGGGTAAAGTCTTTGAACCACCTTGCGCTAGTATGTGAGGGCAAAGTAAGTTGATTAAAGCAAAGATATACAAGACTAAATATATATGAATACAGAGAATATGAAGAGACATAATTATAACTACTTTACTGTTGCGGTTCGATACAGTGCGACTCGGGCAATTGCTCAATGTAGAGTCAGTTGTGTGTCCTTGCTGTTGCGCTGCATTTGTCAGGTCAAAGGTCGCTGACCTTTGACTTTCGCGTAACCTCCAGCGGTTACATCAACCTCCGAGGGTTGACTCGCTGGTGCTTCGATATGCGCTGCTTCGCTTGTGTCTTGGTGTTTCGACACGACAGAGGCGCTTAGGACTATTTGTTCCCAACACTCCCCTTCGCTTCTAGAGTGTCGCAGATGGTGACGTGGCTTTGTCCAGTCAGCAGCATGCAGTACTCGAACTTCTGTTTTCCGAGCTTCTTGGTCAAGTAGTCAGCTGCCATCTTGGACGTGGGACAGTAGGATAGTTCGAGTTTCCCCTTCTCGATCTCGTCTTTCACGAAGAAATATCGCAGAGCGATATGCTTCGTTCTGTTCGCGAATCCGCTTTTGTTGGCGATGCGAATCGCAGATTGGTTGTCGCAGAATAGAGTGAAGTTGGGTAACTCGGCTAACTTGGCTTCTTCCAGCAGCTCGCGAAGATAGAGTCCTTCCTTGGTGGCTGAGCAGAGTGCAATATATTCTGCTTCAGCTGACGAGAGAGCGATTAGTTCCTGCTTGCTCGATTGCCAGGAGATCGGTCCGATAGGTTCGAGGCGGTAGATGTAGCCAGTGCGGGAGCGCCTATTGTCTGAGTCGCCAGCGTGATCGGCGTCGACGTAGCCTATTAATTTCGTCGGTGTAGTTGTGTTCTTGTAGTATGTCAGGCCGATCGTTGAGGTGCTGACGAAGTAGTGGAGAGCGCGGTCGAGTTCCGCCAGGTGTTCTGCTTCAGGTCTTTTGAGGTAGGTGGCGAGTTGACTTGCGGAGTAGGATAGATCTGGGCGGCAGGTGACGGCTGCGAAGAGAAGGCAGCCCAGCTTTTTTCTGGTAGTCGCGTATCCCGGCGGTTTTGAGTAGAGAGGATCCTTCATTGTGGTTTCCTGTCGTGTAGCGGTAGGGCATAGAGATGGTGGTAGGTGTGAGCGCGAAGCGTTTGACAATGGTGTCGGCGTACTTAGCGGCGTTGAGGTAGATCGCGCCTTCTTCCTCCCGAATGTTCAAGCCGAGGTACTGTGTGACGGTAGAGGAGACCGTGAGTGTGAGGTCCCTCTGTAGCTCCCCTTCGAACAAGGTGGTGATGTCGTCGGTAGAGCTGATGTAGAGCAAGTCGTCTACGTAGACGATCAGCAGAATGTATTCGTTGTTTTTGGTGAGTCGGTACATCCCTTGGTCGTGAGGCAGTTGGCGGAATCCGATGCGAGTGAGGCGAGCGTGTAGGTACTGTTGCCATAGCCGCGGGGCTTGCTTGATCCCGTAGAGCGATTTTAGCAATTGACAGACTTGGTTAGGTTCCCCGTGGGTACCGTGTGGAAGCTCGACGAAGATTTCCGCGTCGACGAGTGCGTAGAGGAACGCGTTGGCGACATTGATTTGCCGTAGTTTCTTCTTCTTCATAGCGGCGATCGCGAGGAGAATTTGAAGTGAGGTATGTCGGCTGACCGGGGCGAATGTCTCGGTGAAGTCCCGTCCGTGCTCCTGATCGAATCCACGCACAACCCAGCGTGCTTTGAATTTCTTGATTGTGCCGTCTGCCTTCGTTTTGATGCGGAAGACCCATTTCCCGGTGAGAATGGTCTTATTCCTTGCCACGCTGATGGGAACAACTTTCCAGGTGTTCCGTTCCTCCAGCGCTTTTAAACTCGTGTCCATGGCTTCACGCCATTTTTCCCTGTGTTCCCCCCCTAGAGCCTGCTGAACCGTCGCAGGCTCTTTAGGGAGAGCGCTGCCGTGGACTGCGGTGACGAGGCCGAGAATCTGCAGTCCAGTCTGTGAGTAGCGGGGAAGAGTTGTGTCCTCGGGATAAGCTGCTTCATCTTCCGCTTCTGGCTCGGGTATGAAATTCGGCCCTAGCCGTTCTACTTCGTTGGTGTTGACTGTCGCAGGTGTTACGTAACCATTGTCGGCGAAGTGGTAGAAGACTTCGGCGTTGGCGCTTTCGCGAGGGTTGTCTTCGTCCATGGGGACGTTGACGGAGCAAAACGGGAGAGGTCCGGCTTCTTCTGATGCGTTGTCCACATTCTGCTCGTCCCAGTCTGCTTCTTCCGCTGCTGAGGCGAAGGCTCGGTCACCACGAAAACCACCTGTGGGATCTTGAATTTCGTGCAAGTTGGCAAGGTACGTCTGAAGCGTGAGTCGTTCGTAGAAGATTACGTCACGTGCTGCTACTGTTTCCTTGGAGTGGACGTCGAAGATTTTCCATGCGTTGTAGTTCTTTTCGATGCCGAGGTGTAGTCCCCATTGTGCGTGTTGTGAAAATCTTCCCGCTCGTGCTTCTGGGGGTCGGTACTGTACCATGCACCCGAAAACTCGTAACATTTTTGTGCTGCCCTGTTTCCCTGTCCACAGCAGATGCGGTGACGCGTTGTTCGGAAGTGAAGACGACGACATCAAGTTGTGCAGCATGACAGCGTGGTCCATTGCTGCAGGCCACTGGTGGTTGGGTAGCCGCATGCCACGTAACAGTTTGCGCATGCTGTTCTGCAGAGTTCTGTTCATTCTTTCTGCCACACCTTGCTGCTGATGGGCGTAGGGAAGAGAGAGGAGCTGCTTGATTCCTCTTTCCGCCAGGTACTGCTTGAATCGCTGAGAGGTGTATTCTCCCCCTCCGTCTGACTGGAAGCTTTTCAGTTGTGCGCCCGACTCTCTCTCTGCTACAGGTAGCCAGGCAGCAAAGGCTGCGAGTGCCATGTCGCGGCTGGGTAGGTTTAGGTGCCAGACGTAACGGGTGGCGGCGTCGATGAAGGTGATCGTGTAGTTGTATGTATCTTGTCCTGGTTCCCGATTGAACAGGATATCGCTGTACACTTTCTCGAGTGGTGCGTACGCGGGTGCGCTCGGGTTGTGGTGAGGAATGTACGGCCGGTGTGGTAAGTTGGCTTCGGGACAGGTAAGGCAAGTTCCTCATGCCCGTTGAAGTTCTCTGCCGTCGGGTAGTAGTAATGAGTCCTTGTCAAGGACTCCTGCTCTTATTGTGGTGTTTAACACAATGTTGCTTGGGTGTCCCATGCGTGCGTGCCAGATATCTTCGGAGGCGTGGTGTCCGGATGAGCGTCGATATGCGTCGGAGTTGGAGTAGATGCTGGCGACGAAGTTTGCGCTTCTGTGGACTTCCCGTTGAGTCGGATTCAGCTGCTGTGCGGGTGTTGGTGGTGCTTCGTCAACGAGGACTGGTGTCGTTGTTCCTACTGCTGCTGCAGATGATGTTTTTGTTGCTGCCGATGTTGTCTCTGCTGCTGCCGATGTTGTCTCTGCTGTTGCCGATGATGTTTCTGCTGCTGCTGAATGTTGTATTGTTACTAACACACGTGTTCGTTCTGCTTCAGGGATGGTATGTGAATACCAGAAGCCTTCCGGACTGAAGACGGGGTCGAGATCCGGCGGGTGTGTCCAGGATGTGAAGGTGACGATCCCGTCACTGTCTGCGGTGCCCAGGTCTGGAACGAAGTCGAGGACGAAGACATTGTTCTTCAGGATCGCTTTTCCGATGTAGAGGCCGCCCTTCCTGTGGTACAGCTTGAACTCCTGGGTGGTACCGTCGGCTTCCAGATGTATGCCTTTCGCCATCAACTGGCTGACGCTCAGTAGGTTGTAGCCGAGTCCTTTTGCTATCAGGACTTTTGACATTTGTAATACGACATTCGTCTCCCGTGACTGAAGTTGCACTACTCCTTGTCGTCGTGTGCGCAGGTTCTGATTATTGGCGACAATGATGACGACTTCTCGTTGAAGTTGCTGCTCGCGTTGAACGAAACGTCCTGAAGAGCACATGTGTTGTCCGCAGCAACTGTCCAAGAACCATGTGTCCTTCCCGGACGGCTCGCTTTGGGCGATGGCAGCGTACATCGGGTTTGGTTGAAGTGACTCGCGGCGAGGCGTGCTGTTGTCGAGTTGTTCTTCTGGTGAGTTATATGGTGGTGACTCAGTTGTGCAGGAGTCATTCAGCCTTGCCATGCAGCTGACGATGTTTCTTGTTTCTTTTGCAGGTTGTCCTGTTGAAGTTGTTGAGACGTGGACTAAAGTTGTCGGGTTTGCTTGCGTTGAAGTGACTTGGCTGCTTGAAGGACGAAGTTGGCGTTGTCGATTTGGGCAGTGCGTACGAGGATGCCCTGAAGTTTTGCAGATGTGGCAGAATGGAGGTACTGGCTTCAGTTGTTGCTGCCGATTGTTGTTGTTGTTGTTGTAGCGTCGCTGGGTGTAGAACGCGAACTCTGGTGCTGACGTCTTCCTTTTATGTCGTTCTTCTTGCAGGTCCATGTCTTGCTGCTCGGCATGGATTTCGGCGCAGAGCGCTGCTTCGGAGATTCTCCCGTGAGCTCGGAGGATGGCCTTTGTGGCGCGCCATTGAGGACCGAGGCCGCCGATGATGACTGTCACGAAGGCGTCTTCAGAGATCGACCCTCCACATCGAAGAAGCTTGTCGCGCAATTCGCGACATCGACTGATATACGCCAGTCCTTTCTCCCTTGGTTTCATTTCGACTGTTGTCAGTTGCGCCATTAACCGACTTTGACTTACACTGTCTGTTGCTTGATATAGGCTCTTCAGGTGGTTCTACGCGAGCTCCGCGGAGTTACCGTAACCTCGGTAGGTCCTTATGTTCTGCTGTTGAGTCGGGGTGATATTTCTCAGTAAGATCGTGTACGCCATCATTGACTGATAGGTGTACTGCTGCTTCTCGTACTGTGTGCCGTTTGTTGGATATGGCAGGGTCCCTCGAAGAACCCGAATATCAGCGCGCCTTCCATCATCAGTTCAACTCGAACGACCAGGTGAAGAAATCCTTTCCATCGAAAGGTCTTGACGTCTGCATCTTCAGGACATGTGCGAACTGCAACTGAACTTGCAGTGCGTCCAGTTGTTTTTCTTGTCCAGGTGAGGGCTGTGGTTGTGGCATGAAGCTGATGGATCCGCGCTCATACGGAGCAAAGGTAGGTTGTTGTTGCTGGTTTCCCCGTGCATATGATGAGCCGTCGAGACTCATGGGTGTTGCTCCGTTGTTGTTGCTGTTGTGTGATTACGCAGGTCCTCCTTGTTGATGCTGCTCGTAGAAGGACATGAAGGAGAAGAATTTCTCCATCATGCTTGGATCGAAGCCCACGCCTTGGTTTGCAGAAGTTTCAGTAGACCCAGCTGCCGGTCTCGTTGTTGTTCCTTCCTCTGTCTGTAGGCCAGAGGCAGGAGGTGGAGTAGGAGTAGTACCGGGAGAGCCGTTGGAGGAGCTCCTCTCCTTTCTAGTAGACATATCTCTTGGTGTATTGAGTATTGAGAAGAAGTAATTTAACTCTAATCTGCTCTCATACCATGTTGGGCTAAAAGCCCCTTTAGGATCTTTGGTAGAGTTAAAGTCTGAGTAAAGTGATGTAGTAGCGGAAGCGTTTGGAGTAAAGTATTTGAACCACCTTGCGCTAGTATGTGAGGGCAAAGTAAGTTGATTAAAGCAAAGAGATACAAGACTATATATATATGAATACAGAGAATATGAAGAGACATAATTATAACTACCGTCAGCCCCCGGATAGAAGCGCCCCTGGGGTTATAAAAAAACACTGTTTTTTAGGGGGTGGGCTTATAATTGAGGATTTTTATAAGCGCCGGGGCTTATAAAATGACATATATGAAATCTAGTTTTTTTACACCAAAGTGTTCATCTCGTCCTTGCGATTTGAATCGAATCGAGATTGTAGGGGGCTGGAATGTGAATCTCGCGTAAATTGGCAGTGGCTGATTCTCTGCCAACACGCACAGTCAGAATGAGTCAGATTAACCCCATGACAGGTCATTCTGACTGGACGCGAAGGCATTGAGTCGCGCGATGGTGAAGGGATTCGAATTTCTGAATGTTGGGATGCAAAAATTGTGTTTCGTTACAGCGTTTCCAGTAAAAATATTAAATATAATTCAGAGGGTGGCGCTTATAATCCGTAAGCCTTTAGGGGTGCGCTTATAATCGAGGACCGGATATAAGCGCCCTCATCCTTTTATAAGCGCCGGCGCTTATCCGAGGCCTGCGCTTCTATCCGGGGGCTTACGGTACTTTACTGTTGCGGTTCGATACAGTGCGACTCGGGCAACTGCTCAATGTCGAGTCAGTTGTGTGTCCTTGCTGTTGTGCTGCATTTGTCAGGTCAAAGGTCGCTGACCTTTGACTTTCGCGTAACCTCCAGCGGTTACATCAACCTCCGAGGGTTGACTCGCTGGTGCTTCGATATGCGCTGCTTCGCTTGTGTCTTGGTGTTTCGACACGACAGAGACGCTTAGGACTGTTTGTTCCCAACAACTACAGCAGTGCCCCACCTAGCTATATATCTCTTATGCTGTTACGACCCGCTTTTTGGCATCATGGTTTAGAGAGGCAGGGTATGCTAGGTTTGACAATGGTAGTGTAACTAGGGATATAAGTTATACATTTACTGTTGTAGCGAATTCTGCAGATGCAGTGTAAATCATTTGCAAGCGAACATACGGTACATTCGTGCAACCATACAGCCATGTATGGTATCCAATCCATGTAACCATGTGGGGATGTTACCATGTGGTGCAATTGGTTGTGGTCGTCATGCAGGCATGGAGGCATCTGGTTATGTAACCCATGTAAACAGTGTGCTCCTAGGGCAGCAGCAGGCATGCAGCCGGATTATGTAGCCATGTGACCTTGCAGGCATGCAACAATGCAGGCATTTGCGCATGGAAGCACGTACCCATGTGGGCCACTCCGCCCATGCGATGCAACCAGTATGCTCTGCTAAAGCAGCAGCAGGCATGCATACATGTAGGCACGTGGCTATGTGGTGATGTGGCCCATGCAGCCCAGGTGAGTCACGGCCGATGTGTTTTGAGACGTCTCAAAACTATGTGGCTATGTGGCCATGCGGGCATGTGGCCCATGCGGCCCAGGTGAGTCACGGCCGATGTGTTTTGAGACGTCTCAAAACTATGTGGCTATGTGGCCATGCGGGCATGTGGCCCATGCAGCAGCCCATGTGGCTATGTGGTCAGGTGGCCCATGCAGCAGCCCACGCAGCAGCCCATGCAGCAGCCCATGCAAGTCGCGACCGATGTGTTCTGCTAAGGCAGCAGCAGGCATTGGCCCGAGTAGATCTTGTTCACGTCGCACACCTGGTGGCACACAGGAGGGAAACACTGCAAATTAGCAAGACAGTGCAAACTGCAATCAGTCGAAGTTACAACACGTGCGTCCGATCTGTAACAGGTTGCACCACAACCACATGACGGCGCGCACCTCATGAGCCAAGCACCTTGCTTCCGATCTCATTTTTTCAGGCGCCAAAAAAATGTTCTGACATTCTTAGGTGCCTCAACAATAGGCACCTCATGAGGCAAGCACCTCTCTTCCGATCTCAAAGGTCGTGGCATGGATCCCATTTCGATGTTTAGCTTGAATGCTGTACGTGCATCTCACCTCAGGGTTGCGCTTGAAGAACTCGGAGTTGGGATCGCACAAGGTGGCTCGGGGGACGAGGGAGCAGAGGGTGTCTCCTGGTCGCACGATCCAGACCCTGCCACCTCACACCAGGCAACAAGAGAACCACATGCTTTTTGAGTCGAATTAAAATAGAACTCTTCGGGTCCCACGCTCCAAATCCTGCACTCACACCAGGCAACGAGAGAGCTTCATGTCATGTGACTGTATGCGAGCCTAACTAATCTAACAAAACAACCTGGTTATTGGAGTTCATTCAGCTTGTCCGTCACCAAACAGCAATTGCAAGGCAGACGAGGGCGTCTTCAGGTCTCACATTCCAGATCCTATGCCTGGATCCTGTTCCAGGCCTTATCCAGCAGGATGTGGATGAGGCCTGGTGATACCTCGGATGAGGCATAGAGACAACCACATGTCTCTGAATGCAACAAGTGTGCTGCCAGGTTTCACACTCCAAATCCTCAACCACGGACCAGGCTCAATAAGAGAACCGCGTCTCATTGAGTGCGAGCCTACTTCATTTAGAAACAGAACGCGAAGTACTTTTGAGACCTCTTGGAAACACTCTCTGAGTATGGGCCTACATCCGGAAACAAAACTGGAGGAATTTCTGAGAATAAACTCTCTGAGTGCGGGTCTAGTTCATCCAGAAACACAACTCAAGTCTTTGAACAACGCAGCGGAGCAAGGGAGACAAATACATGCAAGGGAGATAAATACAAGCAAGGGAGATAAATACATGCAAGGGAGACAAATAAACGCAAGGGAGCAGAGCAACGCTCCCACAGTATTGGAAACAAGTTGAAACCCTATGCTCACCAAATGCTCATGCATCCACTTATCCATACAAGATGTATGTCACTCGTTTCTTGTTTGTTACACCACCGGGAACATGATACCTGCAGCGACGCTTCCTTACTTTCCGTCCAATTCCTTGGCGCTCCCATTCCTGATGCACCGCCAGATGCAAGACGGGGTGGCACACGTTTGGAACAACGTCGTTGCAGCATGTTACGTCCGTGACAGGCCATTTCAGTGTTGAAGGCAGGCCATTTCCGTGTTCACCCAGCGGCAAGCCACGCAAGGAGAGAGACGGGAGTGCGGTCAGGGACGGGAGCGGGGAACAGGAGAGAGGGGAGGGAAAGGGAGTCGAGAGGAAAAATAGAGGGGAAAAGGAGAGTTGAAAGTGGGCAAGGAGAGTTGAAAAAAGGCATATGGACCACTAACATTTGATATGCTGTAATGCTTGCAGACATAAGATTAGACAAGGATGATGGAACATTAAGTGTTGTGTAATACCATCATATGCTAATACAATTTCCTGCATGTGTTGTGTAGCATGTGCGTGAGTAAGAATCTACGTGTCTTGTTAATGGGGTGCCTCAGAAGTGTTGATGGTTTTCTTTCTTTTTTCCCCACAGTACTACACACCTTGGGAAGTTACGGAGCAATAACGACAAAGCTGTTACCACCCAGATGTTACAGTGACATTGTTAAGGGAATTTTAGGGAGTGGGGACCATAAGGGCTTCGAAAGAATCATCGCTCTACTGTAGCGAATGCAAACGGGTTGGGAAGGAATCAAACCAAGTAATGAAATATGGCAAACTTGCTTGAGTTGGACGGTATGGGCAGCGGAAAAAAAATATCACATGATTGTCAGAACCAAGACTTCGTTTTGAAACTGAGACACACAGCACTCACTCACTCACCTCATTCGCTGCGCCACCTGCAGTGGCGTCAGTGCCTCAACGTGCTGCCTGGGACGGCGTGGTATGAGCACTGCTGCTGCCAGCACCGCCACGCCTCCGATGGCGAGCACCTGAGGTGTGGGGGGGATGAGTGGGTTGGCATTGAGGGAGAGGGGGAGAGCACGAGGCAGGGCAAGGCACGAGCACCACTGCTGCTGCCAGCACCACCACCCCTCCGATGGCGAGCACCTGAGAAAGTGGGGGGGGGGGGGGGGGGGGGGGGGGAGATGGGTGGGGTGGTACTGGGGGAGAAGAGCACATGCATGACACATCACATCCTGCCACAATGGCATGCATGGCAATAGGCCCCAGCCCTTATTGCGAAACATGTGAGCCCCACCCCACTCACATGCCTGCACTGCATCCATGCCTGCACTGCATCCATGCCTGCACTGCATCCATGCCTGCACTGCATCCATGCCTGCACTGCATCCATGCCTGCATTGCATCCATGCCTGCACTGCATCCATGCCTGCACTGCATCCATGCCTGCACTGCATCCATGCCTGCACTGCATCCATGCCTGCACTGCATCCATGCCTGCACTGCATCCATGCCTGCATTGCATCCATGCCTGCACTGCATCCATGCCTGCACTGCATCCATGCCTGCACTGCATCCATGCCTGCACTGCATCCATGCCTGCACTGCATCCATGCCTGCATTGCATCCATGCCTGCACTGCATCCATGCCTGCACTGCATCCATGCCTGCATTGCATCCATGCCTGCACTGCATCCATGCCTGCACTGCATCCATGCCTGCACTGCATCCATGCCTGCACTGCATCCATGCCTGCACTGCATCCATGCCTGCACTGCATCCATGCCTGCACTGCATCCATGCCTGCACTGCATCCATGCCTGCACTGCATCCATGCCTGCACTGCATCCATGCCTGCATTGCATCCATGCCTGCACTGCATCCATGCCTGCACTGCATCCATGCCTGCACTGCATCCATGCCTGCACTGCATCCATGGCTGCACTGCATCCATGCCTGCACTGCATCCATGCCTGCACTGCATCCATGCCTGCACTGCATCCATGCCTGCACTGCATCCATGCCTGCACTGCATCCATGCCTGCACTGCATCCATGGCTGCACTGCATCCATGCCTGCACTGCATCCATGCCTGCACTGCATCCATGCCTGCACTGCATCCATGCCTGCACTGCATCCATGCCTGCACTGCATCCATGCCTGCACTGCATCCATGCCTGCACTGCATCCATGCCTGCACTGCATCCATGCCTGCACTGCATCCATGCCTGCACCTGCCCCACCGCGCTTATCCCCATGTCACAACACACCCATGTGCCATCACATTACATCGCATTGCATCCCATCCCATCCCATCTCATCCCATCCTGCCACACTCTCACTCACATGTGTGACCATAAGCCCTACGCCATCGATAAACCGCTGCACCTGCCCCACCACATGCCTATTCCCTTGTCACAATACCCCCACCCCATGTGCCATCCCATCTCCTCCCATCCCACGCTGTCACACTCACATGCTTAGCAATAGGTCCCAGCCCATCCATCCACCGCTGCACCTGCCCCACCCCACCACCTCAACACAACTATTCTCTTGTCACAATACCCCCATGTCCCATCCCATCCCATCCCATGCCATCCTGCCTTATTCACACTCACACGCTTAGCAATAGGTCCCAGCCCATCCATCCACCACTGCACCTGCCCCACCCCACCACCCCAACACAACTATTCTCTTGTCACAATACCCCCATGTCCCATCCCATCCCATCCCATCCCATCCTGCCTTATTCACACTCACATGCTTAGCAATAGGTCCCAGCCCATCCATCCAGCGCTGCACCTGCCCCACCACCCCCACCTTCTCCGCCACTGCCCGCCTCCTCACACTCCTCACCCCCTTCCGCTGCCCCACCTGCTGCCTCCTCTCCACCCCCTCCCCCTCCCTCTCCGCCTTCCCTCCCTCCCCCTTCCTTCCTTCCTTCTCTTCATTCCCTCCTCTCCCCCCTCTTCTCCTAGCACTCCCACTGCCATTGCAGAGACTTGCAGTACGACTAACAAAGCCAGAGTCTCTGCAAGAGCCACTCTTGCTTGAGCTGCCAGTTCCAGTCCAGCCACTGCTGACACTCCACCGGCCGCCATACTCCCTCTCACCGCTCTGGTTCACCATCTCACCGCTCCCAATCACAGCCCCTTGGCTGGCGCGCGGGCGTCGCTTCAGCGGGGAGCTCTTACAAGGAGACTGCTTATACGGGGACGCGGCTTGGCCGTAGGTGGCAGCATCGGTTGCAGCACTGCTGCTGGGGCAGCTGCTGTCTCTCCTGCTGCTCTCTCTCCTGCTGCTGTCCCTCCTGCTGCTGCTGTGCACGCCCTGCCTCTCCTTGGAGCGCAAACTGGATGCGTCACAGACACCTATACCTGCCGTTGCTGCCGCTCCATGGGTGGCTGAACCTTCTGGGGTGGTTGGCCCCTCGTGCAGTGACGCTAGTGCTGATGGCGCTGCTGCTGCCCTGCCTGCTACTGACATGCTCTCCCCTGCTCCTGCTTCAGCCCCTGCCAAAGCCGGATCCACTGCAGATGTCTCAGCACTTGCTGTCCCTGCTGCTGCCACTGGCATTGCCACTCCTCCACTTCTCAGCCCCCCTCCTTCCTCACCTCCTCCCCCTTCCGACCTGCCCACCAGACTCCCTTCCGACCTTGCTGGGCCTCCTACGAGTGCTCTCAAACTGCCGGCACTGCCACCAGCGCCCTGGCCTCTCCTCAACACCCGCTGGCCCCCCTGTCCCCCCTGCTGGACCCCCCACGCTCCCTGCCCCTCCCTCCGCTGTCGGCGCACCTCCTCCCAAAACCGGTCATCCTCTGCCCACCGCTGTAGCAGCAACCCCAGGTGCTCCCCCTTCCCCACACCCTCTCCCCGCCCCACACCCTCCCCCCTCCCCACACCCTCTCCCCGCCCCACACCCTCTCCCCGCCCCACACCCTCCCTCCGCCCCATCATCCCCGCCCTACCCACACCAACCTTCCCCCTCCCCGCAAGCTCCCCCTGCTCCCTCCCCAGCGCGCCCCTGCCCATGCCTCTCCGCCACCCACTGACATCACTGTACCGACCAGGGAAAGGACGCAGAGAGTCTCTCTGAAGGTTGCTCTCAGAGGCAGCACTAGCACTAGCACTAGCACTGCCACTGCCACTGCCACTGCCACTGTCAATACCACTGTCGCCGTTGCAACTTGTGCCCCTGCCATCACAATTGCTGTTGGTGGTGGTGACATCGCCTCCACAACCACCGCCACTGACAGCTGAGCTGGCCGCTGAATCGCCCTGTTGCTGCCACGTGTACATTAGCTGAGTCAGCGATCCCACGTCACTGAACCTACGGGGCGGGAATGCGGAAGGCGCCTCTTCTCGCGTTGCGCCGAAAAGGAAATCACCCAGGCGACAGCTGCTCACACCACCACTGCCGCTGCTGCTGCTGCCAATCCAGGACGTTGGAACAGCTGAAACAGTTGCAGCTTTGGAGAAGAAAATCTCCCGAGCCTCACCCGAGCCTGAGGCCCCTCCACTACCCGAACCTGCTCCACGTTCGGATCCCGAACCTGCCCTAGTTTGGACCTCCAAGCCTGCATTACCAGCACCTGAATTGATTGATGCGTGCAAAACAGCACTTTCAACGCCAGAGCTGGTGAAAGACCCGAACATGCTGCCATTCCCCCCACTGGCACCATGACTAGCTCCTGTAGACCAGCGGCGGCTGAAGGAAGGACTGCTGCTGGCAGTGGTTGTGGAAAAAGAGGACGGGAATGGCTGTGTCTGTGGCTGTGGCTGTGGCTGTGGCTGTGGCTGTGGCTGTGGCTGTGGCTGTGTTCCGCCATCCCCAACAACGGAGGTGGTGGAGGAGGAGGAGAGTAGCTGTGGCTGGGCTCGACCCTGTCTGCTCGCAGCAGCCCTCCTCATCTGTGCGCCCTGTCTGTGGTACGCTCCCCACCCCCCTCCTCCCCTTCCACTCTCGTCCCCTCCCGGCCCAAGACAGAATTCACCAGAATGCATCTCACCAGCAACTGCAGGTGCAGCAGCACCAGCAGCAGCGTCGTTGCCAGCAGCACCACCAGCAGCACCACCAGCAGCGCCACCAGCAGCACCAGCAGAAGATTTACCACTACCATCATCTGCAGCAGCAGCAGTTGCAGCAGCGCTAGCCAAACCTCCCCCAGAGGAGCAATCCAGCACCACCTTCCGCACACCCAAGCCTGCACCCAGGCCTTCACCCGGCCGCCTTCTGACCCGCTTACAAGGCGCCTCGTTATCCACCACAAACCCGTCCTCCTGCGCCACCCGCGCTAGAGTGGACGATGCTGCTGCTAGACCTGCTGCTGCCACGGCTGCTGCTCGCGTTGATGGCGATGGCGTGGCTCTAGAAGCAGAGGCAGGAAGAGAGACGTTTGGTGGGGACAGGGAGGGAGTGACAACGGTGGGTGGTGTAGCAGAGGCAGAGGCAGAGGCGGAAAGAGAGGAAGAGGGAGAGGCTTGCGTCAACTGCAGGTCCCCTTCCTCCCCTTTTCCCCCCTCCTTCCCCACCTCACCTCCCCTCTCCATTGCCCCCTCCTCTACCCCCTTATCTCCCCTCTCCTCTCCGCCCCTCTTTCCATCCACTTCCCCTCCCTGTTCCTTCCGAGCTTCTTCCCCCTTCCCCTCCTCCTCTCCACCCACTACCCTCGACCTTTCACGCCCATCAACCTCCTTGGATCCTGCACCGTCGCCTGACTGGCGTGACTCAACTTGATGCCGAACCTGCCATGCAAGGAACGCCGTTAGGGAGGTGAATGCAAGGTAGCAGACGGTAGCACATGGGCAGCACATGGGCAGCACATGGGCAGCACAAGGGCAGCACATGGGTAGCACATGAGTAGCACATGGGTAGCACATGGGCAGCACATGGGCAGCACATGGGTAGCACATGGGCAGCACAAGGGCAGCAGATGGGTAGCACATGAGTAGCACATGGGTAGCACATGGGTAGCACACGGATAGCATGCTGATAGCTCGTCGTACCATAGATGCGATTCTGGCTTTCTCCATCCCTGTCAGCATGAAGCTGGACTTGACATGAACTCGCGCGCCATTGGTCCACATCAGCATCTCATCTCGAAACCGCTTCTCCACTATGGCAGGCACTCTGAGGGCTGCGGGCACAAAATGTTGATGACATGGCAGAATGTGGATGACATGGCAGAATGTGGATGACATGGCAGAATGTGGATGACATGGCAGAATGTGGATGACATGACAGGATAGGGATGACGTGACAGGATAGGGATGACGTGACAGGATGGGGACGACGTGGCAGGATGGGGATGACGTGGCAGGTCTAAAGAATAGCGAGAAATGATGCTTAGACCCAGACTGACGATGTTCCGTTGCAAGTCAAGGAGATAGAGGTGGGATCACATCACACTATGACTCTCAACATCACGAGAATCGACGCTTACATGTCTGACTGAGGATGGTTCCTTGTGAGTCGAGGAGTGAGAGGAGCACTGGATCCACCAGGTTCAGCACTGGGCTGCATGCATGGCGGTGAGATGAGCATGCACGAGAGAAGCACACGCATACCATGTGTTCACACGTGCAGCACACATGTGCACCACACACAATCCACATGAATTCACGTGCAGCGCACATACCGCGAGTGAAGAATCGTGCCAGGCAACACAAGGGGATGGGTGGCAGTGGAGCAGAGTGGAGTCAGCACAGAAACTCAACTCATGCTCATTCATTCAGCAATGCTGAACAGTGTTAAACAGGCTGAACTCTAGAGAGCTAATGAAATAAGCAAAAGGAGTAACTTATGGAAAATGGAACAACAAACTCCGTTTGCAGTTGAGCAAAGTGCAACGGAGAGTGCCTGAGCGTGGTGGACTGTAGCAGGGAGTGATGGGGAATGGTGGGGTGCGGTGTAGTGTGGCGTAGTGTGGTGGATGACGGTGGAGGTTGGGCACGTACAAGGAGAACTCTGCATTCAAGGCGGGAAGCAGGAGTGCATCCCCCAGAGTTGCCTTCACCGACGTTTGAGGACCCGTGGAGAAAACATTTGATCCAACCGCGACTGGACAAAGGGGTTAGCAGAGAGATCAGTGCTTGTGTTGGTACAACGTTGTTACATATCTATATGAAGGACTTTTTCGATCTCTCTAACAGTTTCTGGCAGGAAATTCATTGGAAACGGAAGGCAAGGCGATGGCAAGGCAAGGCGATCCATGAAAAGTGGGGGTGAGGGGTTGGGTAAAACAGTGTATGCGGAGATGAGGTTGTTGTGGAGAGACAGATTGATACGAGCGTACTTTGAGAGGTGGATGATTGATAGAGATGCGACCCACCCACCTTGCACGGAGAACTGATCGCCTGCAGAATCCTCCAGCCATGCATGCACCGCCAGAGCCATGGAGACATGCCGATCATGCAGCATGATACGCATCAACCGCAGCCATGCACCATGTGACACATCCCATCACGCATACATCATGCCCGCCATGGCATTCCATGTCATGAATTGCTCCCACCAATACACCAAACATATCACATGCACCACACGCATCCCATGCGTCACATGCCCACGACATGCATCGAGATGCGCTCCGACACAGCCGTGCATGCAACACACACATCAAGGGCACCACCATTTCAGGTCAGCGTTGGAAGGCAAGTTTCTGAGAACCATTGAAAAGCCGTAATGGTAATCGTCAAGAAAAACGGCCGTTGATTGTAGCGGCCTTTCGAACCGTTACCTTGACTCCCTGGCACGTTGACGCATTCCAAAACTGCACAAATGGAATACGAGAAGGACAAGTTAAAAAAATGCGACTGAAGCGAGAGGTTGCCATTCTCGACCATTCTCAACCGCACACAACCTACATTCGCGTATACAACGAGGTTCTCACTCAAAACTTGAACTCCCAGAGAACTCCATGGTTTCAACAACGTACCCTGAACGCAGATTGTTCCCGGCATTGTCGCTCCTACGCCGAACAAGCACTGGTTGCTCTCTGTTTGACAAAGAATCTGCTTTGACAGCGATGAAGCACCTTACGCGACCACGGTCACAGCTGTTTCGCAGTCACGATGCAAGCAGAAGTGGAACTTAGTCTTGCCCTGAGTGCAATTGGAATTGGAATGCGCGTCGTATTCGTCGGAATACTAAGACTTCGCTAAGTTTCTTAGTCGTTTAGGTTCGTTTTCTCGGATCAGCTTGTCTTGACCAGCGCATCGCACGGATAATGCGGAGCGAGGATGAGAGGTTGATGCATGAAAACCAAGCGCACGATCCAAAAAGGACCCTCGATACGAAGTTTGAAGTACGCGCGTCTGTTTCTGTGCTGCACAAGCAATGCCAGCCGTTGTTTTGTGGTTGCAGCAGCCTGAACAGCAGATGCTTATGATGGTGGATCTGGTTCTGGGCTTCTCATCCTACGTGCCCCTTGCGGCTGCGCCAGAAAGGATCCATTCCATACCATACACGCCGCACTCGAACCCTGCTATATCTGTCTACATCCTACTCAGCCGCGTTCAACCTCGAGACACAACAGTGTTCCTGCCAGCGATCATGCCTGGTCCTCCATCAACTTGCATTGTGTACTGAATCCTCGCCAAAGATGAAGCACTAGAGTTTCCCAGAGCAGAGATGGGGAACAGAGTGCGACAGAACAGACACGGTTTTGTGTAATGGATATGTGATAGGAGGGAAGGGGGAACAGAGGGTTCGGGGGATGTGAAGATGGGTGCAAGAGGGTAGGTCAACATACAAACATCGAGCATGATGAGTGATGGACGGGATGTAAACCGTCCGATACGCTGCTTCAAATCTGTTCTACCGTAGGATGACGAGAATTTGATTTGCATCTCCAATGCATCTTGGGGACCACGTTCCGGATCTTGCGGACCTGCCGGGGCCATCCTGATCGCAACTGTCCCTGAACAGCCTCGCTCCACGTCATTTCTACATCCTTCGCTGCCGCGCTGGCAACCAGATAATCCGACAGCCTGATCGTATGCTGCAGCAGTGAAGGCACTGCCAAGCAGAATGCCTGTAAGAAACCTACACTTCAACCTTGTTAGTTAACAAGCATGTTACAAATTGCATCCCTTGAATCATCGTGACAACCTCTTCTCCCATCTCATTCATGAGCATCAGGGAAACCATCCGTGGGAAGTTTCTTAAATCTAGCAGAGAACTAGCAGCTAAACCTATCCCAGTATCAACCATGTGCCCTCCCTGGAGTGCAGGAAAAGGTGTTGGCGCTGCACCGACGACGCCGCTGCAGCACGCAGCATGCACCACACAGCCATCTGCTCCCACCACCTGTTTTTACGCCGGAAGCACTAAAACTGCGCGGACGCAACTGTCTACACCCGAGACCCCCCACCCAACCCTGCTGTTTTCAGACCATCAATAACTGCCCTGGCCAGAGCCGTGGCTGCTGCAGCATGCAGCATGCGAGGCAAACCCAGGGCTGGAAGGAAGCTGTAGCAGATAGCCATATCCGGAGAGACAGAGAGAGGTAGTCGTGTGAGTGGATGAGGGCGATGTGATTACAAAGGGAGGGAAACGGGTGGAGAGGGAGGGGAGGGGAGCGAGATTGCTGTGAAAAAAGGGAGGAGGGGAAGTGGAGAGCAGGAGGCGACCCAGAGTTAGTGAGAGGAAGGGAGCAGCGAAGGGGATGAGTTGGCTGTTAGCGAGAACATGGAAAGAGAGAGGATGGGAGGAGCTATCGTACGATGGCAGCAGCAGCAGCAGCATGAGAGGCGCCTGGCATGTCACGGACCCTAAACCCTAAACTCCGACGGTGCGGGAGATGAGTTGTCACGGTGACATGTCATGCCTCCAGAGAGAAGTCACTGCGGCATGGCATGGCATGCCACTGGATGAGTCATCACTGTGGCATGGCACTGGAGATGAGTTACTGTGACATGGCTCCTGCACCTGGTGGCGGGCCCATGGAAGGCATCATAGCCATGGGCATCGGCATGGGCATGCCCATGGGCATGCCAGGCGCTCCCCTCATTGGCCCCATCCCCCCCATCCCCCCCATGCCCCCCATACTCCCCATGCTCCCCATCACTCCCATCCCTCCCATGGCCCCCATGGTTCCCATACCCCCCATGCCCCCCATGTTTCCCATGCCTCCCATTCCTCCCATTCCCCCCATGGCTGTAGCGGGGAGGCCTGGCATGGCTGTAGCAGGGCCGGATGTAGCGGGCAAGCCTGTAGCACCCAGTATGGGTGTAGCAGCAGCTGAGCCTGTTCCTGCTGGCAGGCCGGCTGTAGCGTGGGCGGCTGTAGCGTGGGCGGCTGTAGCAAGGGCGGCTGTAGCGGGGAAGGTTGTAGCGTGGATGGTTGTAGCGGGGAGGCCAGGCGGCATGGAGATGGGGATGAGGGAGGAGGATGGGGAGGGCGAGAGGACTTGGCAGGCGAGGTCTAGGTTAGGCTTGACTGGGAGAGGCGGCATCTGGCTCATTGTACCGGGAACTGAGGTCATCCTGTAACGAGGACAGGCCAAGAGGGCGGGAGGGGAAGGAGGAGAAGTATAAGTTAAGATTGACCAGGGAAGGCTCATTGTACCGGGGACTGAGGTCATCCTGTAACGAGGACAAGCCAAGAGGGCGGGAGGGGAGGGAGAAGATAGGTGTAAGCTAGGATTGACTGGGAGAGGTGGCGTCTTCGTTGTACCGGGAACTGAGGTCATTCTGTATCGAGGACAGGTTAAATGGGTGGAAGCAGAGGAGAGTACGAGGGCATGAGCATGTGTACTCGTGAGCTGTGTTCAGGGAGTTGGGTGAGGGTGGGGGGTAACCGAAGGGTTGAAAGAGCTATGTTCGTAGAGATTAAGCGACAGGTGTGCGGGAATGGGGGGCGTGCTTTTACCCATGAGCAGCTGAGAGGATGTTGACTCTCAGCCGGATAAAAGAGAGGTGTGTGCGTGTGGGGTGAAGGAGGGGAGATGACATCCTTAGAGGAAGGAGGGCAGAATAGGACGTGCACTCACCCATGAACAACCGAGAGAATGTTGTCTCTCAGCCGAATCAGGAGGCCGTTGCACTCCTGCGACTGCCAGGGGGAGTGGGAAGGCAGCAGAGGCAGCAGCAGAAGCAGAAGGAGCAAGTTAGCAGCAGAAAAGACAGTGCTCCTACTCAGCAAGAAGTAACACAAGGCAGGTGGAGGGCTGAATGAAGTCCTAAAGGTACGTGAACCAGGTTACACCCCATCACAACAGCGGCCAGCATGGCATGCCCACCTTGTTTGCGGCCAGTGCCGCCTTGACTTGGGAGATGAGGTCCACGTTCTGCTCGAGTAGCTTGTCTGGTGACAGATCCCCTGTGCGAGAGAGGAGAGAGGAGAGGAGAGGAGAGGAGAGGAAACGAGAGGAGGGGAGAGGAGAGGAGAGGAGAGGAGAGGAAACGAGAGGAGGGAAGAGGAGAGGAGAGGAAACGAGAGGAGGGGAGAGGAGAGGAGAGGAGACGCAACGGGTCGACTTTAGAGGCGCCTCAAAGGGACTTGGGAGATGAGGTCCACGTTCTGCTCGAGTAGCTTGTCGGGTGATAGATCCCCTGTGAGAGAGAGGAGAGGAGAGGAGAGGAAAGGCAGCGGTAATCAACGGCGAGAATGGCTGCAGTTCGGAGAGGAGACGAGAGGAGAGGAGGGGAGAGGAGAGGAGAGGAGAGGAGAGGAGAGGAAAGGCAGCGGGGATCAACGGCGAGAATGGCTGCAGTTCGGTCTGAATGGCAGTCAGGCAGGCAACGTATAGAATAATCAGAAATAGCAGCCATTGATAAGGCAAGGCATCAGAAATGTGAAGGCGGAGCGGATGGAATCGGCCCAAATGACATGCACCAAACCATGCGGATGCCAGCAGGGTAACGAGAAGCGAGGTTGTTTTTGAGGCGTCTCAAAAACAACCTCGCTTCACGTTGAGACGTCTCAAAAACAACCTCGCTTCACGTTGAGACGTCTCAAAAACAACCTCGCTTCACGTTGAGACGTCTCAAAAACAACCTCGCTTCACGTTGAGACGTCTCAAAAACAACCTCGCTTCACGTTGAGACGTCTCAAAAACAACCTCGCTTCACGTTGAGACGTCTCAAAAACAACCTCGCTTCACGTTGAGACGTCTCAAAAACAACCTCGCTTCACGTTGAGACGTCTCAAAAACAACCTTGCTTCACGTTGAGACGTCTCAAAAACAACCTCGCTTCACGTTGAGACGTCTCAAAAACAACCTTGCTTCACGTTGAGACGTCTCAAAAACAACCTCGTTGAGACGTCTCAAAAACAACCTCGCTTCACGTTGAGACGTCTCAGGCATCGGAAAATAAAAAGGCATGCACCAAATTCATGGGAAAGGCACACAGAGAGCGGGGTGGAACGAGATGGCTACTTGGTCTGTGTGGAATGGGATGGGAATGGGGGAGACTTTTGAGTCGACTCAAAAGTTGTCTCGAAAAGGCACAGGGAGCGGGTTGCAACGAGGCTACTTCGTTTGCTTGGAATGGAGTGGGAATGGGAGGCGGAGAGACGGAGGGGGGGCAAATGAAGTGGGGTTGGGGAAATGGAGAAGGGGAGGTGGGGGGGGTTTGGAAAATTAAGGGAGGCACAACAGACGTACCAGATAGCAAGCTGCCACTGTTATCAGCACCGTCTGTATGCGTGTCAGCAGCAGCACACCCATCACCGCCACCTCCCCCTGCTGCTGCTGCGCCAGATACACCTGCACCAGATGCGCCTCCCCCTGCCCCTTGCGCCCCAACAACATCCCCAGCACCTGCAGCTTCCACCTTGACCATACCCGCCCCCCCTGCCCTCGCCGCCCCACCTCCTGCAGCGCTTCCGCCTGTTCCCCCTCCCCCGCCTGCCCCTGCTCCTCCCCCTCCTGCTGCTGCGGGTTCCCCTGCTGCTGCTGCCTGCATTCGTTGCTGCTGTTCCTTGTCCTGTGTGGGAACAGCAGCAGGAGGAGAGGAGGGACGTCGGAAATGTGAGGACGTGAAATTGCAGTAGAATGGGGATGGAAGTGGGATGGATGGAAACGAGAGTATAGACAAACAAAGAGAAGCGCAGTTCAGAAGTTGTTTGGAGGCAGAGAGGAGGAACACACAGGCGGAGACAGAGTGAGAGTGAGAGACGCAAAGGCAAAGAGAGGGAGAGAGTAGGAGAGAGGGCGAGAGGAGAGAGAGGGAGAGTAGTGTGCTTGCCTTTTTGTCCTTTTGCTTCTTGGCTGCTGTGATCTCCTCCGCCCTCCGCCTCTTGCCCGCCTCCTTCCTCTGCTCACAGGGCGAGCAATCAGACGATACGGAGGGGACAGAACGAGGGAGGAATGAGACTAAATTTGACACGCCTGAATAGATGCTTTCCGCCTCTGGCCCGCCTCCTTCCTCTGCGCCACAGGGGCGAGAAAGCAGACGACAGGGAGGGGACAGCGGGATGCAGGATGCACGAGACACGGGGTATTGGACAGGGAAAGAGCTTACTCTTAAGTCAACTCGCAATCAGACAATACGGAGGGGACAGCGGGATGCACGAGACACGGGGTATTGGACCAGGAAAGAGCGAGAGAGGGAGAGTGGGAGAGAGAGAGGGTGCGACGGAAGGTGATATCTGGTGCAGTGATGCTGCAACGACAAGGTGATATCACCTCCCCCAGGTGTGGCCTTTGAAGAAGGCACCTCAAAAGTCATCGCTTCAGATATCACCTTCCCCAGGTGCGGCCATCCCTAGCAGGTATCACCTCCCCCAAGTGCAGCCTCGCTCATCTGCAGCCATTTGCAGCGCAGAGCCACGTCCCAGGCGGTCTTCTCGTGATACAAGTGAACATTTAGCAGATATCACCTTCCCCAGGTGCGGCCTTCCCTAGCAGATATCACCTCCCCCGGGTGCTGCCTGGCTCACCTGCAGCCATTTGCAGCGCAGAGCCACGTCACGGGCGGTCTTCTCCGGCAGGCTCGCCGCGATCTTGAGGTAGCGCTGGGCGGGGGTGAACTGATCCGCGGGGAACCTGGGGGGAGTGGGGAGGGCGGAGGGGGGAGGGAGGGGGTGGAAGGGGGGAAGGGAATAGGAAATTATTGCCTGGAGATTTGAGGCGTATCAAATCTTCTCCGGCAGAGACGTCGCAATCTTGAGGTAGCGCTGAGCAGGGGTGAACTGATCCGCGGGGAACCTGGTGAGGGTCGCGGGTGGGGGGATGGGGGGTTGGGGGGTGTCTGGGAGAGGGTGGGAGGGAGGATGGGAGATCATGTCCTGGAGAGCTGCGATCTTGAGGTAACGCTGGGCGGGGGTGAACTGATCCGCGGGGACGGGAGGGAAGCGGATTGGATGGATGCACGAGCGCCTGTGTGGGAGTCAGTCAACGGATTCAAACGAAAAAAAAAAAAACAAGCATGGCTCTGCGCATGCACACGGTTTCTTTCCCCTCTGGATGGCGGGGGGGACCTGGACGGGAGGGAATCGGGACGGATGGATGTACGGGCATTTGGGTGGGGATTAACGGGTTACAACGGCAAAGCCATGCTTCGACGAATGCACTCCACACGGTATCTTCCCCTGTAACTGAACGGCAATTTACTAGATGTCGCTCCAAGGCGGGTCAGTCGTCCACTCTCTCTCTCTCACTACATTCGCGCGTCGCCAAGGAGACGGTAAATCCAACGGTCAATGCGACCGACCCTCGCTTGCAACACTGCACGTAAGCTGCGCACCAACGGACCAAGAACCGAGCACAGGCGGGGTTTAAGGTTCTAGATGACCACTACGTTCATGAGGGGGAGTCATTGCTGAACGACGCCGGGGACATTCATCTAGCGGTTCATCGAGCGGTCTTCTTGTCCAAACGTACGCGTTCGCAACGACATTGTCCGACCTGTTCTCACGATACCTATCTCGAACGACGGGGGATCAGGTGCGACGAAAAGCGCGGGTGGCGAATCGGTCGATAGCGGTTCTAGGCAACTCGCCTCAGCCTCTAATATCAGCGTCAGGTGAAGGCAACGACGCGAGAACTCTGCGACTCGCCTCAGCCACTAATGACGCGATAACTCTGCGACTACACGGTCGTGCAACGTCGCACCCTTGAACGAGCCAACCGAACCCTTCAGCGACTTTCCGAACGCTAACCCGTTCAGGTGTAGCAGTATAATCGCGTCCTCCTCTACGTTTCCCTCGTAATCTTTCTCTATCATGAAAAACATCAGTCAAACAGAGCCCCACCTTGCGAGCCCTTGATCCAGCAGCCGTTGCTCCTCAGCCGTCCATGCTTCCGACAAGTACGGGAAGTGCAGCAGCTGAAGCTGCACGTGCAGCGGCGGAGGAGACGGCGGCGCGGGAAGTGCCAGCGGCGGCGGCGGCGGCGGCGATGGCGTCGCCGCCCGCGCCGGTGCCGCCGTTGCAGCAGCGGCGGCTGCTGCTGCTGACGGCGATCTTTGAGGCGCTTCGGAAAAGGAAGCGACAGAAGGCGAGTCTCGAGGCGCCTCAGAGCATGCGGCGGCGGACGGCGCGGGTGGTGCGCTTGCGGCGTCCGGCGAAGCTGCAGCGGCGCTGGCACTGGCACAAGCGGCGGCAGCGGCAGCAACGGCGGCTGAGATGGCGGCGGGGGAAGCTTGCGCCTTGCCCGATGCAGGCTGCGGTTTGGCGGAAGCAGGTTGAACTTTGGCGGAAAGAGGCTGCGCTTTGGCGGAAGCAGGTTGCGGCTTCGCGGAAGAAAGCTGCGCTTTAGCCGATGAGGAGGGGGTGGCGGCGGGGAGCTTGGGTCGGGGAGCGGGAGGAGCGGGAGGAGCGGCGGCCGCTTGCATGTAGCCGTTGGAGGAAGGCGCTTCTCCATTGGCCATCGACGAGCCTCCATCAACACGAGCCTCGCCGCGGCGACGAGCTTTCGCGAACCGCGATCATTCGCGAAATGCGATTGTTTACGAAGAGCAATTATTCACGTGTTTCAGATCAGGAAATGAGCTAAATAATGTTGGACGAGAAAGTCAACTATATTAGACGAAATTATTGCGAAAATAATGTAGAGAAATATGTAGTTAGTTGGAGCGTCACATCTAGAATGCCGAACATGGAGCTGAAGCCGGAGCGCACAAACTAGTTCGAGCTACCTCTACATTGAAATGTCCGGTGGGCTATAGACTATAACCTCATTCGTCGTACATAGGGCATGTGCTAGTAATCGGTTTGGTTCGGACGTGTCGGGAGTCCACCCAACCGAACCACGAGGTTCACGTGGCAGAAGCCCAGGAAGCACGACACGCACACGACATGCTCATGCCATTTCTCTCGGGTGATGGGGGTTTGAGCTTCTCCTCTTCCATTTCTCATCTCAATCGTCGCTTTGGGAACCCTAGCAGTAGCAGACAGCACAGCACAGCAGGAAGCAGGAAGCCTTGCTGCTGTGATGTTGGTCGTCCCTGCAAGCCTCGGGATTCGGGAGTGATGAGGTCAGGCCCTGGGCTGGGAAAAAGGCCGAGGGAGGGTGTTTTGCAGAACCCAAGTTCGAAGTGAGACGGAGGGAGAACTCGAGTGAGAACTCGAGGAGGGAAAAGCTCACTCAAGTCCCCAAAACACTTGGAGCCCTTGAGCCTTGGAGTTGTCGAGTCGAGTCAAACAGAGCTTATCAAAACGTTTTCTGGTGTTCCCAGAGGTCAGGAGAAGCCGAAAGTTTCACCGCAGCAACTGTGCTAGGAGAACCCTACGACGTGTATTTTGGTGATTCGTTGAACAACTCCAAGCAAACGTCTCCAAGTGTGACGAGGGAGCCATGGTGCCCATCCATCCAGTTTTGAGAGAGGAATGCACCCAAAAGTGGAACGGTTTTGACGAAGGTACATTGGTTGTGATGACAATGACAATGACTCCTTCCCACTAGGTTCTCTCCAATTGAGTCGGAAGTTCTGGGCGGATCTTTAGAATTCACACGATGTAAGTACACTTATTTCAAGTACAATGAAAAACAATGGGCTACTTTTGATTGAAAATGTACAGTCCGAACCTCTCACGAATTCGATGCTGCCTCCAAACCTGGTGACCGTACCAGAAGCCAAAGGGCAAGTGTTTCCTGGTTCGGAAAAAGCGGGAGATTCAAGAAAAGTGAAAGTAAAAATCTGACGTGGAATTGACGTGGCTGCACCTGCCATCCGCAAACGGCGCCCACGCCGCCATAACCATCATCGTGGCGTTTGACTCCAGCAAGAGCGGCCTCTAGAATTTTCACAAAGAACGCAATAATACTTGTGAATATACGCAAAACCAGAGACATGAAATATTGTTTTAAAATAAAATTATGAATAAAATGAAATATAATATTTTTAAGAGATTATATGAGTTTGGTATGTGTATTTTATAAAATATTAGTGTCGTAAATTCTGTGCGCTCCATAGGTTCAGAATATATGTACTAGCACTGCTATGACTATTATAATCTCGTAGCATTTTTAACAGAGCGTATGGCCGATGTCAGAAAACCGGCGCATTGGCTAGGTGCTGCGGCACGGATTTGGTACTGTTCTCCTTTGTTTTCTTTTCCTCCAAGGTGATGCGTATCTCCTCCCTACTCAGCAGATGAAGGTAAGGAGGGAGACAGTACTGATCAGTAATAACAGATTTTTATTGGGAACCTCGGGCAAGCGGGCAGATCTTCACAGACGAGTGCACGATTCTTAAACTAGCAGTTGAGTTCACTCACAATGCGGCATATAGACTTGTCAGATGGTAGAGTTGACGAGCAAGAGCCGCTAAGATCAGTCTACTAGGGAGCCCTTTTACAACTTTGCGGCATTGCAGCAGTCTTCGTAACGACTCGCGCGTGCAGCTAAGTTATTCGAAACTAGTTCGACGTGTGCACTTGATTCGGCGCAAGGTCACTTCAGTATTGAGGCGACAGCGTAACGTAACAGTGATAAATTTGACCTCGTTACACACAGAAAGAACATCCGTAATCAGCCAATCGCCATGCCGCTAACTGCAGCAGAGCGTGTGGCGAAAGTGGTGAACTGGCAGCAGGTGGCGATCGGGTCAGCAGTCCTGATCGCCACCGTTATAATCACAAGCCAATGCTGTAAGCCCCGACACCCGCGTCGCTCTTCTCTCCTCCCAGATTCCCTCCCATCTTTTGAAGAACCGATTTTTGAGCCGACAAAAAAAAAATCGTTTTTCTTTTCTCCCACATCCACTCCTACCTTGAAAACGTCAGCACACCCAGAGTCAACTTGGGGAGCAACCCATTACTAATCTCCTTGGATAAATTTGGTTTCTATGACGAAGCAATAGCGTTCGCATACCACATTCAGTCTCATCGCGTGTACTCCTAAGCTTCCCATCTTGTCCCTTTGTAAAACTCATATCGAGGATGCACTGTGCAGACACGGCTTCTTGGAATGACAGTTCGAGCCGAGCAACTGAAGACTGCACTATCACCGCCAATGACCAGCAAGGCTCCAAAAAACCCTCGAGATTTCACATTCAGGACTACGGCCTCCAGGGCCCCATCCCCTGGACGTACATCCGACCGTCCGTCCGCGATGCCTTCACAGTCAACGGCTCGATCCAGACCGTTGAAGCTTTCCGCGGGACGGATCTGGACGACTCCGGAGCGACGGAGGTGGTTTGGACGACCGAAATGATCAACCAAAAACGGCGACAGGCGGAAAAGAGGTCTCTGAGAGTTTCTAGTTATGGCAAAAAGGCTACCCAAAGTTTTTACCAGGCGTTGAATGCGCACCCAGTGAAAGGAAAATCGGTGCTGGTGGTGGGAAGTCAATTGCCTTGGCTTGAGGCGATTCTCTTGGTGTATAAAGCTGGGTCGATCACGACCGTTGATTTCAACAAACCGGTAGCAGATTATCCCGGATTGAGGCTGTGGAATATTGCTGAGCTGGATGCCTCAGATGAGACCTTTGACGTGGTAGCTTCTTATTCGTCGCTGGAGCACGATGGTCTGGGGAGATATGGCGATCCGCTAAACCCGGATGGGGATATGCAGAGAATGGCAAAGGTAATTTTGCTGTTGTGGTTGATGCTGTGGGCTGGGTGCGGTTTCCATGGTATGGCATCTGCAGAATGGGGATCTGCAGAGAATGGCGAAGGTAATTTTGCTGAGGTGGTTGGTACTGAGGGGTGCGGCTTCCGTGGTATGGTATGGGTTGCCTAACTATGCTTCCGACGTGTTGGCTCCCTCCCTGCTAAAAGTTACTGGTGCGTCCCTGTCCTTACCATGCTTTGTTACCCCCATCAAGCTTGTTACCCCTATCAATCCTGTTACCCCCATCAATCCTGCCATCTCCCCTCACATCATTCTATGTCTTACCTTTTGCCGCGATTTCCTCTATCATCTCCTCCTCTTCTGCCATCTCCTCCGCTTCTGCCATCTCCTCCTCTTCTGCCATCTCCTCCACTTCTACCATCTCCTCCGCTTCTTCCATCTTCTCCGCTTCTGCCATCTCCTCCTCTTCTGCCATCTCCTCCTCTTCTGCCATCTTAGCCACCTCAAGAACTTTCATTGCTTCCTGCCATCCCTCCCGGACCTTATGCTCCCAAAGCTCATATCCATGTGATGTCATTTGCCATTTTGCCATGTCATTTGCCATGTCATTTGCCATGTCCTCTTACATCTCTACCGCTTGCAGCTGTGCAGAACAAGGGCCTTCCAAATCCTCAAGGACGCTTCTTCCTGGGTGTCCCAGTGGGCAACGGCTTCTTCACTACTTGACGCACGCACCATCTTCTCACATCTCTTCCTTTCCCATTCACATCTTCTCACACCTCCCCCATTCCCTCGCATCCCCTCTTGTGGCTGTGCAGATCAGGGGCCTGTTGAAGCCAGGAGGGCTTTTCTTCCTGGGGGTGCCAGTGGGCAACGACACGCTGGTGTTCAATGCGCATCGCGTGTACGGTCCCATCCGCATGCCGCTCCTGCTTGAGGGATGGGAGCTGCTGGACGTGTTTGGGGTGTCCAGCCTCGAAGCCACCTACAGGGAGAACCTGGATAAGGCCAACATACAGCCGGTCATGTTGTTGACTTATACTTCTTAGGACGCGTCGCATTTGTCACTGTATAGTAAGGATCAATGTGCAGGGTGTACACTGTACAGTAACTTTGCCAATTCGGGAATGGCTATGTATCCTTGTTTCACCTTCTTTAATTAAAAGTATCCGATCCGAACTACTCGTCACGAGCGTGTCCCCTCCAATTGCCGAGATAGGAGGGCTTCAAAAGTCACATCGATTGTGCGACTGGAGGTGCGGAAAACGAAATCGCGGCACCACCACAGCAGCAGTCTAGTCGATAAGTTGGTAGAAGTCTGCTTTATCCCTCTCACTCTTGGGTACAGCCTTGTCATAGGTTTGCAGAAGTGCACGGTTGGTGGTGGTTCAGTCAGGTTCAGAGCGCCTGCTGCACCTATTGATCGGCAGCAGTCTTGTCCATGAGCTGGTAGAGGTCTGCTCTTCGCTGTACCTTGATGGGCATGTTTTGCCTGCCATGGAAATGGGAGTCACATGCACGTGGATGGATGCACATGCACATGGATGGAGACACATGCACATGGTTGGATACACATGCACATGGGGATGGAAATGTATGCATCTGGAGATGATTACACATGCACGCGGATATGGTTAAACGAGCACATGCAGATGGATGCAGATGGATATACATACAACGCCATTCCATTCTCTGCCATGCCATGTTCATGCCATGAATACACTTCCATGCCACTTGCACCAAGCCATGTTATACCACCCATGCCGATTTCACCGCGCCATGCCATACCACACCACTTGCACCACGCCATACCATGCCACGTCATGCCATAGTATGAAGAGCTCCCCTGTGTTCATCGCACCTGCGAATGTCAATCTGAGTCAGGTCCACCTCCCCCACCACCAGTGCCTCCTCATGCTCCGTTGTTGCCACTATCTCCCCAAACTGGTGGCAAGCATGGGTGGCAGAGGGCAGAGAGGGGTTAGCAAGGCAAGACAAGCACACGAATTTGGCATGGTTCCACCTTGCCTCTCCCACCACCAGTGCCTCCTCATGCTCTGTCGTTGCCACTATCTCCCCAAACTGACAACGGGCATGGCAGGCAGAGGGCAAAGTGGGTTGGGGGAGATGGCATGGGTGGCAGAGAGCAGAGAGGGGTTACTGGGGCGAGACAAGCACACGAAATCGGCAAAGTTCCACCTCTTCCCCCCCCCCCCACCGCCTCCTCATGCTCCGTTCTTGCCATGCTCGGTCGTTGGGCGGAGAGGGGTGGGTGATAATGGGATGGCACGGGGGCAAGGGGCAGAGAGGGGTGGGTGAGAGCACATGCATATGAGAGGGGTGGTCGGGTGGATTACTGCATGGCAAGGCATCGTGCTTTCACTACATATGAGAGGCGAGACAAGCACAAGAATGTGAATGAGAGGCGAGACAAGCACAAGAATGTGAATGAGAGGCGAGACAAGCACAAGAATGTGAATGAGAGGCGAGACAAGCACAAGAATGTGAATGAGAGGCGAGACAAGCACAAGAATGTGAATGAGAGGCGAGACAAGCACAAGAATGTGAATGAGAGGCGAGACAAGCACAAGAATGTGAATGAGAGGCGAGACAAGCACAAGAATGTGAATGAGAGGCGAGACAAGCACAAGAATGTGAATGAGAGGCGAGACAAGCACAAGAATGTGAATGAGAGGCGAGACAAGCACAAGAATGTGAATGAGAGGCGAGACAAGCACAAGAATGTGAATGAGAGGCGAGACAAGCACAAGAATGTGCACCAGAGCCAGTACGATCCCATGTCCTCCCTCATGTCATGTCATGCCAAGCAATGGCACCCACCCAGCAATCAAGCCGAAGAGGACACCAGTTAGGTGCCATTGGGTAGAAGATTCTTGTGTAAAACTTCGGTGGTACGATGCCATGTCCTCCCTCATGTCATGTCATGCCAAGCAATGGCACCCACCCAGCAACCAAGCCGAAGAGGACACCAGTTAGGTGCCATTGGGTAGAAGATTCTTGTGTAAAACTTCGGTGGTACGATGCCATGTCCTCCCTCATGTCATGTCATGCCAAGCAATGGCACCCACCCAGCAACCAAGCCGAAGAGGACACCAGTTAGGTGCCATTGGGTAGAAGATTCTTGTGTAAAACTTCGGTGGTACGATGCCATGTCCTCCCTCATGTCATGTCATGCCAAGCAATGGCACCCACCCAGCAACCAGGCCGAAGAGGACACCAGTTAGGTGCCATTGGGTAGAAGATTCTTGTGTAAAACTTCGGTGGTACGATGCCATGTCCTCCCTCATGTCATGTCATGCCAAGCAATGACACCCACCCAGCAACCAAGCCGAAGAGGACACCAGTTAGGTGCCTTTGGGTAGAAGATTCTTGTGTAAAACTTCGGTGGTACGATGCCATGTCCTCCCTCATGTCATGTCATGCCAAGCAATGGCACCCACCCAGCAACCAAGCCGAAGAGGACACCAGTTAGGTGCCATTGGGTAGAAGATTCTTGTGTAAAACTTCGGTGGTACGATGCCATGTCCTCCCTCATGTCATGTCATGCCAAGCAATGGCACCCACCCAGCAACCAAGCCGAAGAGGACACCAGTTAGGTGCCATTGGGTAGAAGATTCTTGTGTAAAACTTCGGTGGTACGATGCCATGTCCTCCCTCATGTCATGTCATGCCAAGCAATGGCACCCACCCAGCAACCAAGCCGAAGAGGACACCAGTTAGGTGCCATTGGGTAGAAGATTCTTGTGTAAAAATTCGGTGGTACGATGCCATGTCCTCCCTCATGTCATGTCATGCCAAGCAATGGCACCCACCCAGCAACCAAGCCGAAGAGGACACCAGTTAGGTGCCATTGGGTAGAAGATTCTTGTGTAAAACTTCGGTGGTACGATGCCATGTCCTCCCTCATGTCATGTCATGCCAAGCAATGGCACCCACCCAGCAACCAAGCCGAAGAGGACACCAGTTAGGTGCCATTGGGTAGAAGATTCTTGTGTAAAACTTCGGTGGTACGATGCCATGTCCTCCCTCATGTCATGTCATGCCAAGCAATGGCACCCACCCAGCAACCAAGCCGAAGAGGACACCAGTTACGTGCCATTGGGTAGAAGATTCTTGTGTAAAACTTCGGTGGTACGATGCCATGTCCTCCCTCATGTCATGTCATGCCAAGCAATGGCACCCACCCAGCAATCAAGCCGAAGAGGACACCAGTTAGGTGCCATTGGGTAGAAGATTCTTGTGTAAAACTTCGGTGGTACGATGCCATGTCCTCCCTCATGTCATGTCATGCCAAGCAATGGCACCCACCCAGCAACCAAGCCGAAGAGGACACCAGTTAGGTGCCATTGGGTAGAAGATTCTTGTGTAAAACTTCGGTGGTACGATGCCATGTCCTCCCTCATGTCATGTCATGCCAAGCAATGGCACCCACCCAGCAACCAAGCCGAAGAGGACACCAGTTAGGTGCCATTGGGTAGAAGATTCTTGTGTAAAACTTCGGTGGTACGATGCCATGTCCTCCCTCATGTCATGTCATGCCAAGCAATGGCACCCACCCAGCAACCAAGCCGAAGAGGACACCAGTTAGGTGCTATTGGGTAGAAGATTCTTGTGTAAAACTTCGGTGGTACGATGCCATGTCCTCCCTCATGTCATGTCATGCCAAGCAATGGCACCCACCCAGCAACCAAGCCGAAGAGGACACCAGTTAGGTGCCATTGGGTAGAAGATTCTTGTGTAAAACTTCGGTGGTACGATGCCATGTCCTCCCTCATGTCATGTCATGCCAAGCAATGGCACCCACCCAGCAACCAAGCCGAAGAGGACACCAGTTAGGTGCCATTGGGTAGAAGATTCTTGTGTAAAACTTCGGTGGTACGATGCCATGTCCTCCCTCATGTCATGTCATGCCAAGCAATGGCACCCACCCAGCAACCAAGCCGAAGAGGACACCAGTTAGGTGCCTTTGGGTAGAAGATTCTTGTGTAAAACTTCGGTGGTACGATGCCATGTCCTCCCTCATGTCATGTCATGCCAAGCAATGGCACCCACCCAGCAACCAAGCCGAAGAGGACACCAGTTAGGTGCCATTGGGTAGAAGATTCTTGTGTAAAACTTCGGTGGTACGATGCCATGTCCTCCCTCATGTCATGTCATGCCAAGCAATGGCACCCACCCAGCAATCAAGCCGAAGAGGACACCAGTTAGGTGCCATTGGGTAGAAGATTCTTGTGTAAAACTTCGGTGGTACGATGCCATGTCCTCCCTCATGTCATGTCATGCCAAGCAATGGCACCCACCCAGCAACCAAGCCGAAGAGGACACCAGTTAGGTGCCATTGGGTAGAAGATTCTTGTGTAAAACTTCGGTGGTACGATGCCATGTCCTCCCTCATGTCATGTCATGCCAAGCAATGGCACCCACCCAGCAACCAAGCCGAAGAGGACACCAGTTAGGTGCCATTGGGTAGAAGATTCTTGTGTAAAACTTCGGTGGTACGATGCCATGTCCTCCCTCATGTCATGTCATGTCATGTCATGTCATGTCATGTCATGTCATGTCATGTCATGTCATGTCATGTCATGTCATGTCATGCCAAGCAATGACACCCAAAGCCCCCTCTTCCCCTCCCTGCCCCTGCCCCTTCCCCTGTCACTCACCGGCCCAACCAGGGTGGAGTGACCCCAGGCTCGGTACGATGCTGAGTCATCCCGGGCAGGTGAACACGTGGCAACAAACAACTGGGCAGCAGGAAGGGCAGGAGGGAAGGTAAGACGGGGTGGGGAGGGGGAACGGATGAGGGGGAGGGCAGGGGAGGGGAGAGGGGAGGAAGGGGGAATGTGGGTGAGTGGGGTAAGCCTGTGTGTGACAAACAGTGTGTTTATAAGCCACTCTACACACGGGATTTTGCCAGAACTCGTAGTATAAGAACGGGAATGAGGACGCAGAAGGAAAAGAGAAAACAAAAGAAAGAAAGAAAGAAAGAGAAAGAAAGAAAGAAAGAAAGAAAGAAAGAAAGAAAGAAAGAGATTCTTAGCAGTGAAACTATCGAACCCACCTGATTGTCCACTGCCCTGTTGGTGCAATGCAGAGCACAGCACCCATTGGCATGTCGAACCCCCGTGGCAGCGGCAGCCATAGCAGAGGCAGCAGCAGCAGCAGCCATGACAGCGGCAGCCGTGACAGCGGCAGCAGTGGCATCAGCGTGGTAATGGTGCCAGAGGCAGGAAGGGGAGGGGTGAAAACGGGTGAGAGAAGAGCCGGAGGGAAGGGGGAGTAGTGCAGCGGGCGGGAGGGGGAGGGGGGAAGGGGGAGATGAGAGCGATGAAGCCATGGTGACAGGAGGGGAGGGGAGGGGGGTGAAGCCGTGGTGGCATGATCCCTAACTGGCTTGCTGAAGCAGCTGCTAGTGCAGCAATAGTCCCATGTCATGTTGAGCGGTCCAAGCCTCCATCCCAAATGTATAGACTCAACCTCTACATCTATGAGCCCCACCCACCCACCCGCCCGCCCGCTCGCCCGCCGGTCACCCGCCCGCCCGCCCGCCCGCCCACCCGCCCACCCACTCACCTGGCTTGCTGCAGCAGCTGCCAGTGCAAGGGTCCTGTGGTCATGTTGAGCGCACTTCAAGCTACCACCCCAGATGTCTAGTGTTCACTCATCCTCTACATCCTAAGACCCACCCGCCCGCCCACCAATCGCTCCCCACCTGGCCTGCTGCAGCAGCTGCCAGTGCAAGGGTCCCGTGGTCATGTTGAAAGCACCCGGGTAGCAGATGAGCTGCGCGCCTGATGTGGGAAGTACGTATGGAATGGCGGGGGAAGGGAAAGTGTGGAAACAGAACGTAGTCATGTTGAAGGCACCTGGGTAGCAGATGAGGTGACTTTTGAGTCGACTCAAAAGTCACCTCGAAAGTGTGGAAAACGGAATGTAGTCCTGTTGAAAGCACCTGGATAGCAGATGAGGTGTGCGCCTGAGAGGAGAAGGGAGGAGGGAAGCCCAGGGGGTAGCACAAAGAAATGGAAGGGGTTGAAGTGAGAAGGGGTTGAAGTGAGAAGGTAGCTAAGCAGCGCCCTTCAGGGCATGGCAGCTAAGCAGCGCCCTTCAGGGCATGGCAGCTAAGCAGCGCCCATCAGGGCATGGCAATGACAACACGAACAACAACATACCTCGAGTGGCATAGAGCATTGCGAGCTCAGGGAAGCGGATGTCATAGCATATGCCCACTGCCACTCGTGCCACGTCTGAAGGATGGGAGAGAGGAGTGGAGTAGGGCGGAGAAGAGAAGGGGAGGGCGGAGGGAAGTGGATGTCATAGGATTGTCTGTGGGAGGGAGGAAGAGAGGAGGGGAGAGTACGGGAGCAGAGGAGGGGCGAAGAGGAGGGGAGAGTGCTGCAGGCAGGGTGGGAAGGAAGGGCGGAGGGGAAGCGGGTGTCGTAGCAATGTTTTCACCGCCACTCATGCCACGTCTGGAGGAGAGAGAGGGGAACAGAGGAGGGAGCTGGGGAGGGAACAGCGGCATAGAGCATTGCGAGCTAAGGGAAGAGCGGAAGGGGGGGCGGAAGGGAAGGGAAGGGCAGAGGGGAACGGACTGTTATAGCCACTGAATTCCCCATTGCCACTTTAGCTATGTCTGCAGAGTCAATTCAGAGAATTATCTAAGGGAGGGATGGGGAGCAGTGAAGGATGAGACTTGCCCGCAAGTGGTGGTGGGAACTTTGATTGCAACTGCCCACCACCACTTGCGTGCAGGGGGTGCTTGAATGTGTGGGCAAAAGCATGAGCAGATTGCCATCCAAGTCATGTATGAGCAGATTGCCATCCAAGTCATGAATGAGCAGATTGCCATCCAAGTCATGAATGAGCAGATTGCCATCCAAGTCATGAATGAGCAGATTGCCATCCAAGTCATGAATGAGCAGATTGCCATCCAAGTCATGAATGAGCAGATTGCCATCCAAGTCATGAATGAGCAGATTGCCATCCAAGTCATGAATGAGCAGAATGTCATCCAAGTCATGAATGAGCAGATTGCCATCCAAGTCATGAATGAGCAGAATGTCATCCAAGTCATGAATGAGCAGATTGCCATCCAAGTCATGAATGAGCAGATTGCCATCCAAGTCATGAATGAGCAGATTGCCATCCAAGTCATGAATGAGCAGATTGCCATCCAAGTCATGAATGAGCAGATTGCCATCCAAGTCATGAATGAGCAGATTGCCATCCAAGTCATGAATGAGCAGATTGCCATCCAAGTCATGAATGAGCAGATTGCCATCCAAGTCATGAATGAGCAGATTGCCATCCAAGTCATGAATGAGCAGAATGTCATCCAAGTCATGAATGAGCAGATTGCCATCCAAGTCATGAATGAGCAGAATGTCATCCAAGTCATGAATGAGCAGATTGCCATCCAAGTCATGAATGAGCAGATTGCCATCCAAGTCATGAATGAGCAGATTGCCATCCAAGTCATGAATGAGCAGATTGCCATCCAAGTCATGAATGAGCAGATTGCCATCCAAGTCATGAATGAGCAGATTGCCATCCAAGTCATGAATGAGCAGATTGCCATCCAAGTCATGAATGAGCAGATTGCCATCCAAGTCATGAATGAGCAGATTGCCATCCAAGTCATGAATGAGCAGATTGCCATCCAAGTCATGAATGAGCAGAATGTCATCCAAGTCATGAATGAGCAGATTGCCATCCAAGTCATGAATGAGCAGAATGTCATCCAAGTCATGAATGAGCAGATTGCCATCCAAGTCATGAATGAGCAGAATGTCATCCAAGTCATGAATGAGCAGATTGCCATCCAAGTCATGAATGAGCAGATTGCCATCCAAGTCATGAATGAGCAGATTGCCATCCAAGTCATGAATGAGCAGATTGCCATCCAAGTCATGAATGAGCAGATTGCCATCCAAGTCATGAATGAGCAGATTGCCATCCAAGTCATGAATGAGCAGATTGCCATCCAAGTCATGAATGAGCAGATTGCCATCCAAGTCATGAATGAGCAGAATGTCATCCAAGTCATGAATGAGCAGATTGCCATCCAAGTCATGAATGAGCAGAATGTCATCCAAGTCATGAATGAGCAGATTGCCATCCAAGTCATGAATGAGCAGATTGCCATCCAAGTCATGAATGAGCAGATTGCCATCCAAGTCATGAATGAGCAGATTGCCATCCAAGTCATGAATGAGCAGATTGCCATCCAAGTCATGAATGAGCAGATTGCCATCCAAGTCATGAATGAGCAGATTGCCATCCAAGTCATGAATGAGCAGATTGCCATCCAAGTCATGAATGAGCAGATTGCCATCCAAGTCATGAATGAGCAGAATGTCATCCAAGTCATGAATGAGCAGATTGCCATCCAAGTCATGAATGAGCAGAATGTCATCCAAGTCATGAATGAGCAGATTGCCATCCAAGTCATGAATGAGCAGATTGCCATCCAAGTCATGAATGAGCAGATTGCCATCCAAGTCATGAATGAGCAGATTGCCATCCAAGTCATGAATGAGCAGATTGCCATCCAAGTCATGAATGAGCAGATTGCCATCCAAGTCATGAATGAGCAGATTGCCATCCAAGTCATGAATGAGCAGATTGCCATCCAAGTCATGAATGAGCAGATTGCCATCCAAGTCATGAATGAGCAGATTGCCATCCAAGTCATGAATGAGCAGAATGTCATCCAAGTCATGAATGAGCAGATTGCCATCCAAGTCATGAATGAGCAGAATGTCATCCAAGTCATGAATGAGCAGATTGCCATCCAAGTCATGAATGAGCAGAATGTCATCCAAGTCATGAATGAGCAGATTGCCATCCAAGTCATGAATGAGCAGATTGCCATCCAAGTCATGAATGAGCAGATTGCCATCCAAGTCATGAATGAGCAGATTGCCATCCAAGTCATGAATGAGCAGATTGCCATCCAAGTCATGAATGAGCAGAATGTCATCCAAGTCATGAATGAGCAGATTGTCATCCAAGTCATGAATGAGCAGAATGTCATCCAAGTCATGAATGAGCAGATTGCCATCCAAGTCATGAATGAGCAGATTGCCATACAAGTCATGAATGAGCAGAATGTCATCCAAGTCATGAATGAGCAGAATGTCATCCAAGTCATGAAACAAAGGAGGGGGAATATGGGACCGAATCGAACGAATCAAAGAAGAATTGGAGACTGAAGGAGGGAAGGGACACGTGTGGTGGATGGGATGTGAATATTGAACAGAACGGAACGGAGCGGAATGGAACGGATTTGAACAGGCATTCTTGCACACACAACACAAAAAGGCAGCAGCACATGACTTGAGCAAAAAACAACTTGATGAGAAATCTATTTTGAGAGTCTCAACACACACATTTTTTTTTTACACTTTCACACACACCATAGAAGACAGCAACAAATCACTTGAGAAAAAACACCTGCTACTAAAGCAATACATGCATTGACTATATAAACACACAAGGGCAGCCCACCTGTGTCAACGACCAATGGCTGATCGCCACGTGTGAGTGTGTCAGACTCCTTGAATGTGATCTTCCCTGGGATGTCAATGTCAAAGAGATGTAGCTGACAACGGGGGAGAGGGGTAAGGGGACAAGAGGGGAAGGGAACGGGGTGCAGCTGAGAGGGGAAGGAAACGGGGAGCGAGGGGATGTCAATGTCAAAGAGATGTAGCTGACAGAGGAATGGGTAAGGGGACAAGAGGGGAAGAAAGGGGGGTGAGAGGGGATGTCATGACGCACAGGTGCAGCTGACAAGGGGGGGAGGTAAGGGGACAAGAGGGGAAGGAAACGGGAAACGATGGGATGTCAATGTCAAACAGATGCAGCTGATGGGGGGACAGGTAGGACGGTGATGGGGGCAGGTAAGGGGACAAGGGGGGAAGGGAACGCGGTTAAAGGAGATGTCTATGTCAAACAGGTGCAGCTGATGCGGTGACAGGTAGGACGGTGAGGGGGAGGGGACACAGGGGGGGAGGAAAGGGGAGAGGGGAGGGGGGAGGGTAGGAGGAACAGGAAGTGGGTGTGAGCGTGTGAGACTCTTTTAACGTGAACTTCCCTGGGATGACTTTTGAGACGTCTCAAAAGGATGTCAATGTCAAACAGATGCAGCTGACAAAGGCGGTGGGTAAGGGGACAAGAGGGGAAGAAAGGGCGGTGAGAGGGATGTCAATGTCGAACAGGTGCAGCTGATGGGGGGACAGGTAGGACGGTGAGGGGGAGGGGGAGCAGAGGGAAAGAAGACAGGGGAACACAGACGTGATCTTTCCCGGGATGCCAATGTCAAACAGATGCAGCTGATGGGGGGACAGGTAGGACGGTGAGGGGGAGGGGGCACAGGGGAGTGGAGCGGGGGAGGGGACAGGGGGACGGGGGAGGGGGGGAAAGGGGGGGTTTGGCGGGGGAGGTATGGGAAGGGCGGGTGAGTGAGGGACAGCTTTAGAGAATTCTCTAAGGCCGGTGGGTGGGTGAGAGGGAGAAGAGGGACAAGAGGAGAAAGCAAGAATGCTTTTTGAGAATTCTCGAAAAACACTCGAGGGAATGGGAAGGGCGGGTGGGTGGGTGAGGGACAGCTTTCGAGAATTCTCAAAGGCGGGTGGGTGGGTGAGAGGGAGAAGAGGAGAAAGTGCTGATGAGAAGTGTCAGAAACATATGCAGGTGAGGGACAGGGGGAAAGGGGAGGGGCGGGATGGCACCGTGATTCTCCCTGAGGCATCAAACAGATCCAGTTGACAGGGGGAACAGAGCAGGGGGGCTGGGGGAGGATAGGCAGAGAGGAGGGATTAGTCACCCTTGCAAGAATGCTCAAAAGCAAGAATGCTCAAAAGCAAGAATGCTCAAAAGCAAGAATGTTCAAAAGCAAGAATGCTCAAAAGCAAGAATGCTCAAAAGCAAGAATGCTCAAAAGCAAGAATGCTCAAAAGCAAGAATGCTCAAAAGCAAGAATGCTCAAAAGCAAGAATGCTCAAAAGCAAGAATGCTCAAAAGCAAGAATGCTCAAAAGCAAGAATGCTCAAAAGCAAGAATGCTCAAAAGCAAGAATGCTCAAAAGCAAGAATGCTCAAAAGCAAGAATGTTCAAAAGCAAGAATGTTCAAAAGCAAGAATGTTCAAAAGCAAGAATGTTCAAAAGCAAGAATGTTCAAAAGCAAGAATGCTCAAAAACAAGAATGCTCAAAAACAAGAATGCTCAAAAACAAGAATGTTCAAAAGCAAGAATGCTCAAACATAACCCCGCCGTGCTCAACCGCCCTCTACATTCCCCACCTTCTTTCCTTCTCCCTCCCCCCACCTCCTTTCCCCTTCCTCTCTCCACAGTCACACCAATCCACAGTCACATCTCCCTTACCTTGCTGAACCGACCCTTCAACTCCCCCTTGCTGCCGAACACAAGGCACGTGTTGTACAGCCGCCCCTCCCTCCTCCTAGGAATAGCATTACCTGCCATAGTCTTATACCTGCCTACAGTCACACCTGCACATAGTCACATCCAAACCACCCTCACCTTGCTGAACCGACCCTTCAACTCCCCCTTGCTGCCAAACACAAGGCACGTGTTGTACAGCCGCCCCTCCCTCCTCTCGGGAATGGAACCCCCCACTATAGTCACGCCATGCCGCCCCGCCACGTCAGCGAGCATCGCAGCGGAGGGTGAGGAGGCAAAGGAATCTTCCAGGGAAATCTCCTCCGCGTAGGTGGGGAAATTGTCGTTGGAATAAGGGCAGTTCCACATTTCCTGGAAATGAGGGAGAGACGAGGGGGAGGGGGGTAGGTGGGGAAGGGGGCAGGCGGGGAGGGGGGAGGGAAAGGAGCAAGGGGGACGGAAGAGAGGGTGGAAGGAAGGTGGGAGGGATGAGGATTAGAATTGAGAAGGAGGAAAAAGGGAGAACGGGGGGAATGGGAGGGAAATGGGGGTATGGGAGGGTAGGAGGGGCAACGAAGGGAGATAAGGTAGAACTAGGGGAAATGAGGGGGAATACGGGGTTATGGGGTGGAGTAAGTGAATGGGGGAGAATAAAGGGGACTGATAAGAAGTAAAGGGAAATGGGAGGGAACGGAATCGATTACTAAAAAAACACTCACGCACCAATACAATCCCACATGTAACACACTCACACATCAACACACTCCCACACTACACAAATCACTCAACCCCTGCCACCATGCCACCATGCCACCATGCCACCATGCTGCCATGTCACCATGCCACCATGCCGCCATGTCACCATGCCACCATCCCCCCACTCTCCATCCCCTCTCCCCTTCACTCTACCTTTCTTTCCCCCCCCCCCTCTCTCTGCCCCCACTCCACCCATACCAGCAGCAGCACAAGCTTTACAGCCAATCATGCCATGCACCCTCTCCTCTCTCCTTCCCCGTCCCCAATCCCTCCCTCCCAATCTCCTCCCCCGCTGTCTCCCCCCCCTCTCCACCCATACCGGCAGCAGCACAAGCTTTACAGCCAATCATGCCATGCACCCTCTCCTCTCTCCTTCCCCGTCCCCAATCCCTCCCTCCCAATCTCCTCCCCGCTGTCTCCCCCCCCTCTCCACCCATACCGGCAGCAGCACAAGCTGTACAGCCAATCATGCCATGCACCCTCTCCTCTCTCCTTCCCCGTCCCCAATCCCTCCCTCCCAATCTCCTCCCCGCTGTCTCCCCCCCCTCTCCACCCATACCGGCAGCAGCACAAGCTGTACAGCCAATCATGCCATGCACCCTCTCCTCTCTCCTTCCCCGTCCCCAATCCCTCCCTCCCAATCTCCTCCCCCGCTGTCTCCCCCCCCTCTCCACCCATACCGGCAGCAGCACAAGCTTTACAGCCAATCATGCCATGCACCCTCTCCTCTCTCCTTCCCCGTCCCCAATCCCTCCCTCCCAATCTCCTCCCCCGCTGTCTCCCCCCCCTCTCCACCCATACCGGCAGCAGCACAAGCTGTACAGCCAATCATGCCATGCGCCCTGTCGCTCCCTTTCCCCGTCCCCGCTCTCCCCCACCCTTCCCCTCTCTCCACCCCCCCTGCACCCATACAACCAGCAGCACCAACTTACCACCCTAGTCCACAGCACAGACAACTATATGACCCACTCCCCCCATCCTACCACTCTCAGTCCGCCTACCCCTCTCTCCCCATGCGCCTCCACCCATGCAACCAGCAGCACGAACTTACCACCCTAGTCCACAGCACAGACAACTATATGACCCACTCCCCCCATCCTACCACTCTCAGTCCGCCTACCCCTCTCTCCCCATGCGCCTCCACCCATGCAACCAGCAGCACGAACTTACCACCCTAGTCCACAGCACAGACAACCGTATCGCCCATTCCTTCTCCTCTCTGCTGGCCATCCCCCTCATTCTCCCCCCCATCTCCCCCTCATCCTCCCCCCCCATCCCGCCCCCATCCCCCCCCTTTCCCCCCATACCGGCAGCAGCACGAGCCTAGCGCCCTGGTCCGCAGCGCGGCCAATCACGTCCCTCGCATTCTCGATGTTGCGCGCCTTGTCAGCACCCACCGCCAGCTGGCACAGCGCGATCTTGAACTGCCAGGGAGGGGTGGGTGGGTGGGAAGGTGGAGGAGGGAGGGAAACATCAGTGCGTTCCAGGTGTCACCACCCACCCACTGCCAGCTGGCACAGCGCGATCGTGAACTGCGAATGGCAACGGGTGGGTGGGGGAGGGGCGGGCGAGCGGGTAGGTGGGTGGAAGAGGGGGAGAGCATCTGTGGGCTTCAGTTGTCAGCACAGCACACCCACCCACTGCTTTTGAGTCGACTCAAAAGGGATCGGGGAGGGGCGGGCGAGCGGGTCGGTGGGTGGAAGAGGGGGAGCATCTGTGGGGCTTCAGTTGTCAGCACAGCACACCCACTGCCAGCTGGCACAGCGCGATGCGTTGTTGAAGTGTGCAATGAGCAGGGTGGGTTCAGCGGAGAAGGCAGGCAGGACGGAGGGGCTGCTTGCTTACAGCACGGCACGGCACGGCACTGCACAGCACGGCACGGCACGGCACGGCACGGCACGGCACGGCACGGCACGGCACGGCACGGCACGGCACGGCACGGCACAGCATGGCACCACGACCCGCAGAATGTATCCACACTGCATTGAGGAGCGTGACCCTCGCTTTGAGGTGATCCCATCTGCGGGATTCAACGAGATCCAATGAAATCCTATGGGATTCAACAAGATTCAATGGGAACCAGTGGGATTCTATGGGAACCAATGGGATCCAGTGAGATCCAGTGGGAACCAGTAGGATCCGCGAGGTGATTTGAGGTGATCTAATGAAGGGAGAGACGATCTCGAGGCGTGAATCGGACGGTTCCAACTCCTTGATAACGAGTGAAGCACCTCGGTATAATCTGATTCGTTTATTCGAAATCTCAAAAGCCACTGGTAGGCACTTGAGAGGTCCGTTCTCGAGGCGCTTGATAGAATACAAGCCACACACTTATCGGCGATTAATCGATTTATAGAATACAACGAGTAATAAGCGATTCAGTTCCTCACTTTGCCGGGAGTGTCGCCAGCAGTCGCATCGGTCGCAGTCTCATTTATCGCAGTCGCCATCGCTCGGACGGGAAGGAGTCGCCTGCGCGGACGCGTGGGAGCGGCGACGGCTTGAGCGGGGAGGGCGGGGAATGCGACGATTTGATGGGCTAGTCGAGACGCGCGGTAATGGCGCAGCGACCGAGGCGCTTCAGACGGACGCAGGAGCACCACCGGAGACGCGCGGTTCGAGGCGCGGGTGCGCACTGGCGGTCTGGCTTTGAGGCACGCAAGGCTTGTTGGCGATCGAAGAGGCGACGCGGCGTGAATGGCGCGATACGCGAGCGCTGCGGCCATGCAATCTTAGGAGCAGGAAGAGAACTCAAGTCTAAAGACGGTTCGAATGAGCGCTCCGACCTCGAACTAATGAGTGAAGGCGATTGGTTTTGGAGCCTGTTTCGTTTGTAAGCACAGTCTCCTTCACAACCTGCTTTCTTGCAACAGTGGTGGTAGATTTATCCTCCTTACTTTTGGGGTGAAACTGCCTTCATTGTAAAAACAATTATAGATCTAAGTTTTCTTTGCTAAGAGTATCGTACATTTGTCATGGAAGAGTTGTTTCGGCGTGACAATTCATATTGCATGTATTTCTACCTTGAGTTTCCTTCCACTATTTATACCACTGTTATTGTTTGTTGTGTTGGAAACAATAAGTCCTAAGTGCGCTTCTGTCGTACCAAAACCCAAGGCACCAAGCGAAGCAGTCCCAATCAAAGCATCGAGTCAACCTCGGAGGTTAGGGTAACCGCCTGGAGGTTACGAGAAAGTCAAAGGTCGCTGACCTTTGATTCGACAATTACAGCGCGACAGTTAAGGACACACAACTGACTCGTTACAGAGCAGTTGCCCGAGTCGCACTATATCGAACCGCAACAGCAATACAGTTATCTATCTATCTTTTCGTATTCCCTGTACTCTTATATAAATCCTTGTATTTGCTTGTTTAATTTAATCTACTTTGCTCTCACACACCAGTGCAAGGTCGGTTCACAATCCTCATTAAACGCTTCCGCTATTACAAGTTTCTACCCAAGAGTTCTCCTCTGCAAAGATCCTAAGGGCTATTTCTCAGCCCAACATGGTATGAGAGCTGACAGGGGAAAATTCTAACTTTTTTATCATTACAAGACATGGCAACAAACAAGGAAAGGAGCTCTCCTAATGGCTCCTCGGACACTACTCCTACTCCACCGCCAGCCTCTGGCCTGCAGACAGAGGAAGGCACGGCAGCAAGACCAAGGGGAACGTCAACCGAGACCCCCACGAACCATCCTTCTGACTTCGACCAGAGCATGATGGAGAAATTTTTCTCCTTCATGTCCTTCTACGAGCAACACCAGCAGTCGGGACCTGCACAGACACACAACAGCAACAACGGAGCGACACCCATGAGCCTTGACGGGTCGTCATACGCGCGAGGGAATCAACAGCAACAACCCACCTTCGCCCCGTACGAACGCAGGTCGATCAGCTTCCTGCCTCAACCTCCACCTGCGCAAGACAAACCAATGGATGCCTTACAAGTACAGTCGCAGTTCGCGCATGTTCTGAAACTACAGACGTCAAGACCTTTCGACGGAAAGGACTTCTTTACCTGGTCCTTTGAATTCGAGTTGATGATGGAGGGCGCGCAGATACTCGGCTTCTTCGACGGATCCCTGCAGTATCCAGCAAACGGGACACAGTATGAAAAGCAGCAGTATACGTATCAATCCATGATGGCGTATACTATTCTACTGAGAAACATCACACCAACCCAGCAGCAGAACATTCGCTCTTACCGGAACTTCGGCAACTCGGCGGAACTCGCGTACGGCCATCTGAAGAACCTGTACCAGGCAACAGACAGTGTAAACCAGAGCAGGTTAATGGCGCAGCTGACAACAGTTGAAATGAAACCAGGAGAAAAAGGGTTGGCGTATATCAGCCGATGTCGCGAATTGCGCGACAAGCTTCTTCGATGCGGAGGGTCAATCTCTGAAGACGCCTTCGTAACAGTCGTCATCGGTGGCCTCGGTCCTCAGTGGCGCGCCACCAAAGCAATTCTTCGAGCACACGGGAGGATCTCCGAAGCGGCACTTTGCGCAGAAATTCACGCCGAGCAGCAGGATATGGACCTGCAAGAAGAAAGACACAAGAAAAGGACATTAGCACCGGAGTTTGCTTTCCATACTCAGCGACGACACAACTACTACAACAATCGACAGCAGCAGCCGAAGCTAGTACCTCCATTTTGTCACATCTGCAAGACATCAGGACACCCACGCACGCACTGCCCGTCTCGACAGACAACACCACAGCGACAACTGCGGCCTTCAAGCACCCAAGTTGCTTCGACACAAGCAAGCTCGACAACCACGATTCAAGCTTCAACGACCTCAACTGGACAACCTGCACAAGGAGCAAGACATATAGTCAACTGCATGGTCAAGATAAACGACTCCTGCATAACAGAGTCACCACCCCATTACTCACCGGAAGAGGAGCTCGACAACAGGACGCCTCGTCGCGAATCACTCCATCCAAATCCGACTTACGCCGCTATCGCTCAAAGTGAACCGTCTGGCCAAGACACCTGGTTCTTGGACAGTTGCTGCGGGCAACACATGTGCTCGTCCGGGCGTTTCGTACAACGCGAACATCGACTCCAACGGGAAGTGATCATCACGGTTGCCAACAACCAAAACCTGCGCACACGAAGACAAGGAGTGGTACAGCTTCAGTCAAGAGAAACAAATATCATACTGCACATGTCTAAGGTACTCATCGCTGAAGGACTCGGCTACAACTTACTGAGCGTTAGCCAGTTGATGGCGAAAGGAATTCATCTGGAAGCCGACAGCACGACCCAGGAGTTCAAGCTTTACCACGGGAGAGGCGGTCTCTACATCGGGAAAGCAGTGCTGAAGAACAACGTCTTCGTCCTCGACTTCGTTCCTCACCTCGGCACTGCAGACAGCGACGCCATTGTGAACTTTGCTGATTGGACACACCCTCCGGATCTCGACCCCGACTTCAGCCCGGGAGGTTTCTGGTACTCCCACACTATCCCTGAAGCAGAACGAACAAGAGCGTTAGCAACAATTCAACAAGAAGCAGAGGCGACAACATCAGCAGAGACGACAACATCGGCAGCAGCAACAACATCGGCAGCAGCAACAACATCGGCAGCAGCAACAACATCGGCAGCAGCAACAACATCAGCAGCAGCAGGAACAACGACACCAGTCACAGTCGACGAAGCACCACCAACACCCGCGCAACAGCTGAATCCGACTCAACGTGAAGTCCACCGAAGCGCCAACCTCGTCGCCAGCTTTTACTCCAACTCCGACGCATATCAGCGTTCACCCGGACACCGCGCCTCTGAAGAGATCTGGCACGCACGCACAGGACATCCAAGCAACACGGTTTTGAATAACACGATAAGAGCAGGAGTCCTCGACAAAGACTCTCTACTTCTACCCGATGGCAGAGAACTCCAGAAGGCACGAGGGACTTGCCTTATATGTCCCGAAGCTGACTTACCTCATCGACCGTTTGCTTCACATCACAACCCGAGCGCTCCAGCGTACGCACCACTCGAAAAAGTTTACAGCGACATCCTCTACAATCGCGAACCAGGACAAGTCAACTACAACTACACCATCACCTTCATCGACGCCGCCACTCGATACGTCTGGCATCGCAACCTACCCAGCCGCGACATGGCGCTCGCAGCATTCGCCGCCTGGCTACCGATAGCAGAGAGAGAGTCTGGAACACAACTGAAAAATTTCCAGTCAGACGGAGGTGGCGAGTACACCTCTCAGCGCTTCAAGCAGTTCTTGGCGGAAAGGGGGATCAAGCAACTCCTCTCCCTTCCCTACGCACATCAGCAGCAAGGTGTTGCAGAACGACTGAACAGGACCCTGCAGAACAGCATGCGCAAACTGTTACGTGACATGCGGCTACCCAACCACCAGTGGCCAGCAGCAATGGACCACGCTGTCATGCTGCACAACTTGTTGTCGTCGTCGTCACTCCCGAACAACGCATCACCGCATCTGCTGTGGACAGGGAAGCAGGGCAGCACGAAAATGTTACGAGTTTTCGGGTGCATGGTACAGTACAGACCCCCAGAAGCACGAGCGGGAAGATTTTCGCAGCGAGCACAGTGGGGACTACACCTCGGCATCGAGAAAAATTACAACGCATGGAGAATCTTCGACGTCCACACAAAGGAAACAGTAGCAGCACGTGACGTGATCTTCTACGAAAGACTCACCCTTCAGACGTACCTCGCCAACTTGCACGAGAATCGGGACCTCACCAGTGGTTTTCGTGGTGACCGAGCCTTCGCGTCAGCAGCGGACGAAGCAGACTGGGATGAACAGAACGTCGACAACGCCTCGGAAGAAGCCGGACCTCTCCCATACTGCTCCGTCGACGTGCCCATGGATGAGGATAATCCTCGCGACAGTAACAACGCTGAAATCTTCTACCGTTTCGCCGACGATGGTTACGTAACACCTGTGACAGTCAACACCAACGAAGCAGAAAGGGTAGGGCCAAATTTCATGCCCGACCCAGAAACGGGAGACGAAGCAGCTTATCCCGAGGATCCAGAACTCCCTCGATACTCACAGACTGGGCTGCAAATCCTTGGCCTCGTCACCGCAGTCCATGGCGCCGGCATTCCTAAGGAGCCTGCGACGGTTCAGCAGGCTCTTGGGGGGGAACACAGGGAGAAATGGCGTGAAGCTATGGACGAAGAGCTGAAGGCACTGGAGGAGCGCAACACCTGGAAAATTGTTCCCATCGGCGTAACTCAAAATAAAAACATTCTTACCGGGAAATGGGTCTTCCGTGTGAAGACGAAAGCTGATGGCACCATCGACAAATTCAAAGCCCGCTGGGTCGTACGTGGCTTCGACCAGGAGCACGGAAGAGATTACACCGAAACCTTCGCTCCGGTCAGTCGCCACACCTCACTCCGAATCCTCATCGCCGTCGCCGCCATGAAGAAAAAGAAATTGCGACAAATCGACGTTGCGAACGCATTTCTCTACGCACCTGTGGATGCAGAAATCTTCGTCGAACTCCCACACGGCTCCCACGGCGAACCCAACCGAGTGTGTCAACTACTCAAATCACTCTATGGGATCAAGCAGGCACCGCGACTGTGGCAGCAGTACCTACACGCCCGCCTCATCCGCATCGGCTTCAAACAACTCCCGCATGACCAGGGCATGTATCGCCTCACAAAAGGAGGCGATTACGTCCTACTGATCGTCTACGTGGACGATCTCCTCTAC